TAAATTCCAGAAGAGCATAATACCAAATCCTGATGGTAAAGGAAAAGTCCTTAAAGTAGAAGTATTCAAACCATAGTATGTGGTTAGTTCTCAGCTTTCCTAGAAGTTCTTTCTAGAGAATTTTAAAAATTTTATTTATTTATTTTTTTAGAAGTTTTTAAGAGGAAGAGAGAGTGCAAGCGGGGGGAAGGGCAGAGGGAGAGGGAGAAGCAGACTCCCCACTGAGCAGGGAGCCTATGTGGGGCTCGATCCCAGGACCCTGAGATCACAACCTGAACCGAAGGCAGACGCTTAACTGACTGAGCCACCCAGGTGCCCCGAGAATTTTTTTAATTTTTTTATTTGAGAGAGAGATGGGGAGAGAGCAAGCATGAGCCGGGGAGGGGCAGAGGGAGAGGAAGAGAGAATCTTAAGCTGGCTCCAAGCTCAGTGTGGAGCTGGTTGCGGGGCTCAATCTCACAACCCTGAGATTATGACCTTAGCTGAAATCAGGAGTATCAAGAGTTGGATGCTTAACCAACTGAGCCACCCAGCGCCGCCCCCGCCGAAGTTCTTTTCTTTTCTTTTCTTTTCTTTTTCTCTCTTTCTTTCTTTCTTTCTTTCTTTCTTTCTTTCTTTCTTTCTTTCTTTCTTTCTTTCTTTCTTTCTTTCTTTAAGATTTATTTACTTATTTGGGAGAGGGAGAGAGAATGTGTGCATGTGGATGCACGTGCAAGTGGAGGGAGAGGAGTAGAGGGACAGAATCTTCAAGCAGACTCTACTCTGAGTGGGGAGCTTGATGTGGGGGCTTGAACCCAGGACCCTGAGATCATGACCTTAGTGAAACCAAGAGTCCAACGCCCAAACGACTGAGCCACCCAGGCACCCTTAGAAGTTCTTAGTTATGATTGTACGATTCCTAATTAGTAGTTGAGTTATAAAGTGAACAGCCAACAAATTTAGAAGGTTTCTGAATTAATACAACCTAAAGCAATTTGTTCCAGGGGGGATCAAGTCCCATGATTTTTGCTATCATTTTATTTTTCCATTTCCCCAAGCATTTAGTGGGAAATGGATTTAATTCTATTCAAATATATCTTTGCTTTTTGTTTTATCATTTTCACTGTTCTAAAAAGAATAGATTTCTATACTTATATGATTGCATATTTCCTTTAGTCATTCTTACTGTGCCTAATATTTGAAAGCATAATGATGAGAAAAACTTTTAGAAACCTAGTCCATTGACCTACTTGATTTCACAAGTAACTTCTGAACCTGAATTTCCAGTTCCTAAATTTTCCTATTAACTTTATTTTAAAAGTTTGAGTCATATAGAGCTTAAAGACTCTACAAATACTTAAATGAATTAGGCTCCTGAATAATTCTGATTTCATGTCTTATGGTAACTTTACCTTTTTTTGTGGTAAAATACATAACATAATTTGCCATTTTAATCATCTTTAAGTATACAATTCAGTGGCATTGAGTACATTTACATTGTTGTGCATCCAGCACTATTCTCCATCTTCAGAACTTTGTCATCATCCTATACTGAAACTGCGTACCCATTAGATAAAAATTCCCCATTTCTCCCTTCCCTCCAGCCCCTCAGAACCACTGTTCAACTTTCTGTGCCCATGCCATTTGATTATTCTAGGTACGTCAAATACATAGAATCATACAATATTTGTACTTTCGTGTCTGGCTTGTTTTACTTAACATAATGTTTTTAAGATTCATCCATGTTTTAGCATGTGTCAGAATGTCCTTCCCTCCTGGATCATATTCCACTGTATGGATATAATACATTTTGTTTATCCATGCATCCATTGATGGACACTGGGTTGTTTCTACTTTTTGGCCATTATGGGTAAGGCTGCTTTGAACATTGGTATACAGATATCTGTTTGAGTCTCTGCTTTCAGTTCTTTTGTGTATGTATCCAGAAATGGAATTATCAGATCAAATGGTGATTCTATGTTTAACTTTTTTTTTTTTGCCAACTTTGTTTTAAACTTCATTAATTTTTGTGACCCCTTATTCTTATATCTCATTTATTTTATACCTGTGTGTGTAAAGTGAATGTGTAGAAATCATGCAGTTGTATTCTGAGGGGAAGATGCTAGTGTTACTACCTGGAAGTATGCTTTGTGTACCTATAATTTATCTATTTAAAAATGCATTGGTACAAGTATAGAGTACATGTTTTGTCTACTGGGTTGGAATCACCTTTTGCTTTTTGCTACTCCTACTCTCAGTATTGCTTCAGGCATCTGGTAGCAATGTGTAGAAAAATACTAAGATGAAGTACTTTTATTTTTTATTTATTTTTTAGGATTTTATTTATTTGACAAAAAGAGAGTGAGAGAGGGAACACAAGCGGGAGTGGGGGGGAGGCGGGAGAGGGAGAAGCAGGCTTCCCGCGGAGCAGGGAGCCCCGTGTGGGGCTCGATCCCAGGACCCTGGGACCATGACCCGAGCCAAAGGCAGATGCTTAATGACTGAGCCACCCAGGCACCCCAAGATAAAGTATTTTTAGATCCTGTTTACCTTTTTTAAGCTTGTTTAGTGGTATTCTTCAGTACCATCTCCAAGGGAGGCATATCTGAGTTTGGATAAAGTTGGCTAAGGAACAAAGGGAAGGGTATTTTTGTGGCTCTGAAGCTCGTGCTCTTTCTGTTACACAGCAGCCAGGTTCCCTTTCCTTTGTGAAAGAAATCTTATCAGAGAGTAGATTTCATTTATCTATAATTTAGGTTTGGTGAGAGAAAACTGGTGAGCTATTTTAGCTTAGAATGTACAGAATTGGCCATCGATCTTGGAAGCATGAAATGGGCATTCTGAATACATTTCTAAAGAAGGCTACAAGTACAAAGCATGGAAATGACAGTCCCTACACATTGCCATGGCTTTGCTGAAATTAAAAGTTTGAAAATTTTCCCCAGAAAAAATGATACTTTGTAATTTAAAAATGTATTTGCTATCTGCTGAACTTAACCTTGAAGTATTTTTCTATAAAATACGAACTCTAGTAAGAAAGTGGTGTCTACCAGTAGTCAGAGGGGTAAAGAAGGTAAGAATAGCTTTTTTAAAAGATAGAGGCCAATGAAAAATTCATGTGAAAAGATTAATTGCTCTGGTCATGTTATTGTTTAGAGCTTGAGGTTGGCAGATACACGTTTAGGGTTTGTGCTACTAAAAGGCCAGCTAGGCATACTGGGAAAGTGCCAAAATTGGGGTAGTTGAATAAGTGTTAACTCTTAAGCTGTCTCCTCTTCTTAGAAGCCTGCCAGGATCTTGCCAGGGAAAACAAATTGCTCTCTACTTCATGCTCCTTCCCTTAGTGTTGTGTTTCCATGTCCCTCAACTAGATTGAGGACTTCTTTGGGGCAGAGGTGTCACATCTTACCCTGTATTTTCAGAACTGAACATAATTGCTTCCGTACAATAGACCCTTTTAAACATTGGCTGAGTCTCTTAATGTGAGACTTGGGCACAAATACAACACCACAGGAGAAGCAGCTATTGTAGTTATCAGGGGGCGATCTGAATCAGAGTTAGGATGTGGCTGAGAACAGAGGAAGCCACTGCAAGATAGAAATCACTGAGGAGATTTTTAAGTTTCATGTGGTACATCAAGCTGTTTCCTTGTCTCATTTCCTAGATGCGTTTGTCCATGGCCTGAAATTCTTCTATTTATATAGTAGCAGACATCTACTGACACATGGATGTTGTGGGGGTGACAGAAGCATGTAATTTTGTTTTGTATTTCTTAATATTTTTTTAGAGAGAGAGTGTGCACACAAGTGGGTACAGGGAGGGGCAGAGGGAGAGGGAGAGAGAGATAATTTTAAGCAGACTCTGTGCTGAGAGTGGAGCCCGATGTGGGGCTCCATCTCATGACCCTGAGATCATTACCTGAGCTGAAGTGAGGCTTAATGGAGCACCGTGAAGTCCTGGATGGAGGTAGGTGGCCTGCAGCTGTTCATATGGAGCAAGTCCTGGGAAATAAGGGGGAGATCTGACTGGGAGGGACCTTATTTCTGTTTGTGCCTTTCTTCTCTCTCTCTTGTCTTTGTGCTAGTCTGTGGAATTTTGCTTTAACCAGAAGTACTGGGGAGCCAGGGGAGGGCTTTGCACCGCTCACTGATATGATCGGGAACGTGTTTTGAAAGGCAGATTGGCAATCCTGTAACATTGTAGAAGGGAATTATAGGGCAGCTTCTGGAGGCAGGTAGGTGAATTTGAAGGCAGTTGCAGTTGTAGTGTTCAAACAAGAGATGAAGAGTTCCTATTGTGTAATTTCACAGATATGAAATTTTGAGAATGGGTAAATTTGTAGAGACAAAGTACCATTAGTGGTTTCCAGGAGCTGGGAGGAGGGGGAACGAGGGGTGCCTACTAATGGGCGTGGTGGGGAACATATCCTGGAATTAGATGGTAGTAGTAGTTGTGCAACCTTGTGACTGTAGTACCGAAAGCCACCAAATTGTCTAGTTGTAAGTGGTGAATTTGATGGTATGTGATTTGCATGCCAGTTTAAAAGGAGAAAGATACGAAGAGTTCCTGAAACAGAAACAGCATAATAACAGCATAACAGGCCATGGGGGTGAGAGAAACCCAGCGGTGGAGAATTGGCAGTACTTTAAGACTGGATATTGGCAATGTCCAAAATGAAATAGAGTCTAAGTTTCTAATTTGTATGACTGAATTGATAGGGAAAGAAATTTTGGAAAAAGTGAGTTTGCAGAGACATAATGAATTGTGTGAAATGTTTTGAACGTGGAATCAAGGCAAGCAGTTAAAAATAAAGGCGCAGATTTCAGGAGAGACTCTGGGCTAGAACAAAGAAACGAGTGTACAGGAGCTGACTGAGGTGGTCACACAGCTGAGCGAGAGGGTATCTTGTCCGCCCACCTGCTATGGACGGTCGTGTCCCATCTGCTCCTTACCCTCACAGCTGGTGTGCAGGTTGTTGTTGTTGTTCGTAAATAAAGCTGAATCTTTATATTACATTTCAGGCAGAGGCAAGGCTGGCAGCAAAACGGGCTGCCCGGGCAGAAGCAAGGGATATACGCATGAGAGAACTGGAGCGACAACAAAAAGAGGTAATCTAGGGGGGATGATCCTCATTCTGTGCTAGTCTCAAATAAATTAATACTTGGCTAGTTTCCTTCTGAAATAAATCTGGTTCCTGTTGAAACACTGGGAATAGTATAACCTGATGTGTATATTTTAACAAGCCATTCTATGTCAGCAAATTAAATATAATATTTGCTTTAAATAATAACAGCAAACACAGAAATAGCTCTTACTGTATGCATTGTAGCAAGTTGTTATGGTGTGATAAGTGCTTTACTTATATTAGCTGAAGTCAGCTTAGAGATGACAAAGTTATTTACTATAGTCCTAACTGTCTTAGAGTTTAGGTTAATTATATTATGATATCTACATAGTAAAACACTGTGAAGTCATTCAACCTTACAGTTTTGAAGCATATTTAATAATGGAGGAAGATAGTCATGCAAGAAAATTAAAAACAACAACAACAATTGTTAAGACTGGTAGGACTCCCATTGTGTGTTACAAAAACTATCATATATAGGGACAAAAACTACTTAGAAATGATTACTATCAATACTTTGGTTTGTCAATGGTGGAATTGATTAGTTTTGGTTTTTTCTTAGTGCTTTTTTATAGATAAATTTCAATACATTTTTATCATCAGAAAGAAAAGCAAAAAATAGAAAAATAAAATAGGCATATAGAAATTGGGCTGCTTTAAAATGAAATAAATACTCTTTTTAACTCTTCCCTTCTGACATCAACCTGACTCTGAAAATTCACATAAAAAATATTTCTGATGCCATATTGGTATAAAGGGGAAAAAGCCTGCAGGATATTATTAATAGTATTAAACACTTTATTTTGATGTTGGTGGTGGACTGCTGCTAATGTGTTGAAGACAACTGTATAGATTTTATTCACAGCTCAAAAAGTAAACCAAAAAGCAGTTGATACCTATGTTGCTATTTTTGTTTTTGATCTCATATATAGTTTCAAATATTGAATGCAATTCTTCGCTTAAAATGGAAGTGTTGCAATGCACAGTCTTTTATACTCCTAAAATTATAGTAAAATTATAAGGAGATTGTTGCAAAGTGTAAGTTCCATTACCTCTAAACTGCAGAGAGCCATATATCTCTTCATTGTTGAGCATATTTAGCTTAGTAATTATCTGTATTTTGAATGTGTAACTTATGTTGAGCTAACGATCACTGCTCTTCAGGGCAAATGTATAGGATTAATTTAAGACTTTTCAGATCATGCAGTATGTTGGAAACTTCAGTTGATGAAACTTTTGTATTTGTAGCACTGTCATTATTCCTTTGATCGGAAATGGGGACAGATTCAGAAGTGGCTGGTAGGCCAGGATTGCCTGCCCTGCATGTTGTGATCAGTTGCTGAAATAATGCAACCTTGAAGTAAAACATTCACTAATAGTTTGCCAAGTAGGAGTGTTTGCCATGTTTGAACCTAAAGGTTAGAGTGTGTCTCTTCTGTCTGTAGTGGACCAAATATGTACTTGGAGTCCATCCATTTTCTGTTGTAGTCTACAGCCTCACACTTTTGTCATGAATGCTCTTGACCAAGAAAGACTGAGTGAATGGATGTGTTTTCTTTCTCTGAGTTTGTTCTTGTCTCCCTCAAATTTGTCCCCCTCTCCTTTCCCTCCTTCTTTTACTCCCTCCTTCCCCCCTTCCTTTCTCTCTTTTTTAAAAAAACTAGGCAGAAATGTCCTCATTGAGAGATGACCCAAGTCATTCTTTAATTTTCTATGAAAATTACTCTTATGTTTTCACTTCTCTCAGTTCCTTTTCGAATCTTCTACCACCACTCCCAAAGAGCAAATCGTGAACCAGTAAAATATTAGTCATTGGGAATCATTCCTAAATTTGAACTTTTTTCAATGTTGATAATTTCACCAGCTGTCTCCTATTGCAGAGGTTCTTCCTGCATGTGAATAGGCTTGGGAGATGAAGCAGGAAGCCTTAAAATCTCACGCAGACTTTTGAATGTATGTATATTTTTAAGTGAAATGCCCCACAGGTGTTATGAACACAAGATTCTCAAGGGAGTCTGTGATCCCTAAAGGGTTAGGAACCACTAATTGCTGTTAAACAAGAAATTTTTATAAGCAAATTCCTTCTGTAGCAGCATTTTGAAGTACAACCAGAATTAAAATATTTATGAGTGTAAAAAATATTTATGACAGTACTGACCTACAGATTTAAAACTTTATCATACTTCTCATTGTGATATTTTAGAAAGGAGAGAAAGATGATGTTTGGTTACTTATAATTAAGTGATCCCTCATGAATGTGTTTGTTACTTTGGAGTAGAATCTGTCCTTTCTTGTTACTAAAGCTAGCCTAATTGGTTTTATTTAAAGTGTCTTCTGCATGAAACTGGGTTATCTTACTGTTGATGCATTAAGAACATTTTGTGTGAATAAAAGAAATCACTTTTGCTTGCAAATTTTCCATGGAAATACTAATTTCATTTTTTAAAATTATGTATTATAGATCTAAAATTAAACTACCTGAGATTTTATTATCTTAGGGCGCACAAAACATTAAATAAGAAGAAAAGCCTATATTGAAAGTCTCATATTTGATTCTCATATTCCAAGGCCATGAAGATAAAAACATATTTTTTATCTTTGAAATGTGTGCAGTTCAGGAAGTGAGTGCACTAGATTTTCATGGAAAGGGGAACATTTTGGGTTTAGAGGTTTAGAATGCAGATGGTGACTAACTCAAGTTCTGAGTGATAGCTCCAACTCGCAGAGAACATGGATGGGGTTTAGTTTCAGGTGGGAATGATTATCACTTAACCCCTTCTGACATTTACTTTTACTCTTTTCAAACTAATTTTTCCTTACACTTTTCAGCTTATTTGTCTCTCTGGCTGCATTCTGTCTATGAGCCTATAGTAGAAGTTGGCATGTTGTAGTCACAATGTAAGATATAAGGAACAATAAATTTATAATAAAATAATGCATATACAAATAATAGGGTTGTCAGTTATTAGAAGGGAAAATGTACCCATGTTAAACATTTCTCCTGATTTTCACACTTTCTGGGTGTGGGGGTGGATGTTGGCGGATGTGAACAGGAAAAGCCAGGGCATGAGGCTCAGGAATGAAGCTAACAATGAGTGCGATTTGTATGCTGGCGCTGTGCTAGTGGTTTTTACATATGTCTCCATTTCACACGATAAGATAAGGACCACCATCTCCATTTTACAGATAAGGTAATGAAGGATTGGTGAAGCCAACAACTTGCTCAGTCATTGGCAGAGCCAGAATTCAAAGGTCAGAGAGAGCGCCACACCTGCTAATGGGTTGGAAGGTGAAAGGACCAGGATGAAAGGGCCCAAGTCTTTGTAGGCCTCCAGACAGCCCTAGTGAGGCCAGTGTTTCTGTTTTTAAACCGAGTGTCTCCATCAGCATGTCGTGACCTGGAAAAGAATGTGCGACTTCTGAGGTTTCCTAATTTGAAACTGAGGGAATGGCTCTAGCCTTGAGTTAAATATTACTTGTTGACAGAGAACAGGGCCAGGTGTTTTCAGTGGGATGTTGTCTTCTTTCAATAAAATCACTTCATCCCCACATCAGGTGAATTTTTAAAAGCAGTCTGTGTTTCATTTCCATTAATTTAAAAGTATCAAAACAATTTTCCAGAAAGCCTTGAACAAATATACATCCATTTATTTATTCATTTGGCAGAGAGAGCGAGCGAGCACAAGCAGGCAGAGCAGCAGGCAGAGGGTGAGGGAGAAGCAGACTCCCTGCTGAGCAGGGAGCCGGACGCGGGACTCTCCATCCAGGACTCGATCCTGGGACTCGATCCTGGGACTCGATCCCGGGACTCCAGGATCATGTCCTGAGCCGAAGGCAGTCGCTTAACCAACTGAGCCACCCAGGCTCCCCTATACATCCATTTTTTAAGGCATTGTCCTGTTTTTTTTCTGCCTTGGATCCTTTATACTGCTAATGACTTCCAGGACAATGAAAATGGATTGTTTCCCAGACTGTGGACGAGAAGGATAGTCAGCCTTGTAGTTGGTACCTAGAAACACAGTTGCTGAAATTTTTTCTCTTGGCCCCTGGTGCTATTAATTCAGGAAAAGCCAATTGGCAGTTTAAAATACTATTCTAGAATACCTGGGAAATGAAGTTGCTTGTTCTTCCAGAGAAAGAGAAATCTTTGAGTAAAACCCAGGCTACCTGGCCATTTTCTTCATGCTCTTGTTTTGTAATCAGTGTAGATTTAGCCAGTGTAGGATGGTCTCTTTATGGTTTGGTGGTCTAGTGAGTCAGAAGATTTGAATGCTTGTCCCAGCTTTATGTCTTTGTGGATTCCTACTTAATCTTTTTGTGGTGCAATTTTCTTTACTTTAAAATGAAGGGATCAGATTGTATAATCTCTAGGGAACTTTCTAGCTCTTAAAAATAATTCTAGGGTCTTTTATACAAGAATTTCCTTCTCTTTCTCTCATATTTGTCACTGTGCAGAAGTATTCAAGGTAGGGGCAGTAATTCACAACTACCTGAATGCCTGCCTCTTTATATAAGAGTGGCACTACATGGCAGCCTCTTAGTAAAATATGTGCTTTGTGGGTTTTTTGGTATAATGAAAATTTGCTTTGGGTTCGCCTTACTGTTTGAACAGTAGCTACCAGCCATATGTGGGTAATTACATTTAGACTTAAATAGATTAAAATTAAAAATTTAGGTCCTCAGTTACACTTCTAGCATTTCAGGTGGTCAATAGCCACAAATGGCCATTGGCTACTGTTTTAGATAGCACAAACACAACATTTCCACTTTGTCAAAGAAAGTTCTGGTGGACAGTGCTGGTTTAAGGTGTAGTTTATGAGTGGAATAAACTGTATTCTCGCAGTTCACATTAACTGGCCTGTATGGGGTTTACATTTTATTCTGTAGTCTTCTAAGGTCTTTTTAGGCCATTTTTTTCCCAAACGGGGCTAAAAAATAAGTTTTTTTTTTTTTTTTAAAGATTTTATTTATTTATTTGAGAGAGAGAGAATGAGAGACAGAGAGCACGAGAGGGAAGAGGGCAGAGGGAGAAGCAGACCCCCTGCTGAGCAGGGAGCCCGATGTGGGACTCGATCCCGGGACTCCAGGATCATGACCTGAGCTGAAGGCAGTCGCTTAACCAACTGAGCCACCCAGGCGCCCAAAAATAAGTTGTTTTATTAAGAATAATTATTATTATTATTATTTTTAAAGATTTTATTTATTTATTTGACAGAGAGACACAGCGAGAGAGGAGATACAAGCAGGGGGAGTGGGAGAGGGAGAAGCAGGCTTCCCGCGGAGCAGGGAGCCTGATGCGGGGCTCGATCCCAGGACCCTGGGACCATGACCTAAGCCGAAGGCAGACGCTTAACGACTGAGCCACCCAGGCGCCCCAAGAATTAATTTTATAAGTAGCATAATTGAAAATAAATATGAATTCATCTGTCTTTGCTGCATCTTTAATGAGCTGTGGTTTTTAGAGGTCGATTTTTAAAAAGTGCTCTTGTGTGGTAGGTGGAATGAAAAAAAAGGTTAAAGGGAAGATTGAACATTAAACTATGTAGGTTGCCCTAGTACCCCAAATAAGACTGGGAAGGGGTGTGTAGAATTAGGCTGCCTGAATAGCACAAGGTTCTTTAAAGCTAACTAGCTCAGAACTGGTTACCACTCAATAAACTGTGCCTACTCTGCTGGGTTTATGCACATGCTCCCAAAACTTTTGTGGTATATAACCTGATAGGGAAAAAGGAAGAAATTTGCTTGGCTTCTTGCAGATTACATGTGTCTATTACATAACAAAAATGTAAACCAGAGATGAACTTCCAAAGTTCAGAACACTCTGTTGGGTTTTATATCATTGAATCATATTGGCGCTTATACAGACTTCTGAACAGATTTGATCACATGCATCAGTATACACAGCAGATGACAACCAGGAGTGTTTTGAAGGATGCTGAAAGATCATGACCAAAATAAGGCATTAGATTGTGGTGTTTCTGTTGAGTTACTGTTTCTATAATTTGAAATGGATGATCAGACATAGCCACATCTATTTGTTCCACCTGTAACGATCATGCTGTAGTGCCACGTGGTGTTGAGGTATTGATTCATTTTGGAAAAGACAGCGTTGATTAGCCATGAACCCAACTGGACAGTTGTGTGTAGATTCTTAGTTAGTGCAAATTACTTTAACACTCTGGACTTTGAAATTCTGAAAGATCAGAAGTTCCTTACTGTTGCAGTGATTAGACTCTAGGAACTAGTCATTTGATCTCACAGACAGGACTTAATGCTCCATTGCTAATAGCTGACTGTCAAAAAGTTTAGAATTGCATTTAATTTAGTCAACTCTTAGGCTGTGGTCATGTTTGTTTTTTTTTTTCTTTTCTTTTTTTACCATCTTCAGGAGGCATAACTCTTGAAATAACTTTACCAACTCTAAAATATTTATGTAGTTTCTTCTAATTATAAGTAGTTTTTCATATTAACAAGACACAGGGGTTATTTTATTTAGTTATTCTTTTCTTTTCCAGGTGGAGGGGTGCAAGAAAACAAAAAGAAATTCTTTTGCAGTGAGCACAAAATTATTTATGACCCCCAATTTTTTAAGTCCTTAAACTATCTTTGTAATAAACATTTCTTCCTGCCTTGCATAAATGAACATTCACAATGAAAAAAGAATAGATAAAAGTCTACTTTTTTTTTTAAAGATTTTATTTATTTATTTGACAGAGAGAGAGAGACAGCGAGAGAGGGAACACAAGCAGGGGGAGTGGGAGAGGGAGAAGCAGGTTTCCCGCAGAGCAGGGAGCCCAATGTGGGGCTCGATCCCAGGACCCTGGGATCATGACCTGAGCTGAAGGCAGATGCTTAACGACTGAGCCACCCAGGCGCCCCTTAATGCTGAACTCAATTTCTGTTTATTAAGTATACTTGCTTATTTTTATCTTGGTATATTGAGCTCTCTTGGTTGTTTATAGATTACATTCCACAAGTGGTCAGACACACATACACAAGATTATTATTGCTACTTGCTTTCCACCTGAAATATGTGGCTGCCCCAAAACCAACTTTAGAAGCTGAGTTGTCCACACCTGCTTGCTATAAGGAAGGTGCTGCTGTGCTCCTAACCGATTGTTGTTTGCGCAGTTCTTCTGATAGACAACCCTTCTGTCCGGTGATTAACTCTCCATGTACTTTCTCCTTTCCCAGGAAGATTCAGAAAGGGCCAGGTATTCCCACCGGTCCAGTCATCATCGACCTTATCTGGTTTGTAATAACCAATAAACTTGCCCCTAATACTTGCCCCTCTTTAACTTCATGCAGTCACCCACAAACTTATGCTATGTTTGTTTTTGTTCTTATCAGGGAGTTGAGGATGCGTTGTCCATTCGAAGTCTTGGCAGTCACAGGGTTGGTATTTTAAGTTGTTTGTACCATGATAGCAGAGCTTATATGTTTGAGCTTTCTGCAGCATTATTGCCTGAACAATCTGACCGTGTTCATATTGCTTTGCCTTAAAAAAACACAAAAAACAAACAGAAAATATTGGCAAAGTCCTTTCATTGGAAAGTGATCTTTCTCTTAAATTATTGCTATAATCAATATAAATCAATTCTACAATCATGAATATTTTAAACTATTAACATATGTATTACTCTTTTTGTATAAAAGGACCTTTGATTTTGGAAAAGTATCGCAAAATAAGAAGATTGATTTTTATGGAATGACATCTGTGTGGTTCAACTTTCAGATTTTCCTACTTTCCTACTTTTTAAAATAATAATTTATTAAATGGGTAATAGCTTTGGGGCTTGGTTAACTAATTCTAGTTTTATTACATGGAAAAATTGAGCTACTGATTGAAAAATTCCCTGCTTATCATATTTATAGTAATTACCAAACCTCAACATTTTGATTAACATTTTGTAGTATGCCTTAGCTTTTTAGCATACATTGCTGTAAATCAAGGTAAATGAGACTTCTTTCATTAAAGTCTTGTATATTGTGCCAAGACACTGATCTCTTTTTAAAGAATTGTGCTTTAAACCTTAAAGCAATGCGTTTAATTTGTGCATTGACAATATTATTATGTGTATATCTAGATTTTTCATCAGTAAAATGATCTTTCATGTTGCGGTCTATATTGGTTAACTTTCCCTAAGTCTAGTTTTCTTCCTATCTTGTGTAATATAATAAACCAAGTGTTTGGTATATGAGTTACGGATGTGTTTGTACTCTTAAATAGTCCTTTACTCTAGTCATATTTCTTACTGGTGAATGTAATTTACTTTCTCTTTTTACAGAAGTCAGTACACTTGTTTTTGAATCATAAATATTTTAGTTAATTGCAAAACTTTAGATTTATAAGAATATTAACAAGCCTTCACGGCAACCTAATCAGCAACTTAAGAATGATTTTACAGGAGAAACATTTTTTAAGATAATAAATTCATCCTGCTTCTCCCTGGAGATTTTTTTTCTCTTTAAACATCATACAGGGAGTTAGTCAATAAAAACTTGAAAGTTGAGTGTTGAGAGTTTGAAAACAATCTCTCCCCATTTTTAAAAAATTTATGGCTTTTTCCTTTGCTTTTCATTATAATGTTCATAGTATGAAGTTTCACACAGTTATCATCAAACTGGTTATTTATAATTTTCTATGTGGTCTAAGGGAAACTTGATTATATATTAATATTAGCTTAACCGAACTGTAGAACCATCCAAGTTTGACCTAATTTAAGAAACTATTTTTTTATCATTTTTAAAAAAGATTTTATTTGTTTATTTGAGAGAGAGAGTGTGTGCACATGAGAGAGCGAGCAGGGGGGAGGAGCGGAGGGAAAGGGAGAAGCAGACTTCCCACTGAGTGGGGAGCCGAGCGGGGAGCCTGACGCGGGGTTCAGTCCCGGGACTGCAGGATCGTGACCTAAGGCAAAGGCAGATGCTTAACCGACTGAGCCACCCAGGCACCCCTAATTTAGGAGCCTCTAAAACAAATCTGCAAACAAGCATAAGAGAAATTAAACCTGCAATTAAGCTAATAAGGAATTGGTTACCATGAATGTCTATAAAGTAATGATGATTTTCTTTTTATGGAAATTATATCATTAAATAAATTTAAGATAAAACTAGAACTCTCACAGCATTTTATTTCACTGTGGTGTGAAAATTTGCTACTGTGGTAAAGAGTAAAGCTCCCAGTATTTTAAAAAATCTGAGTGTGAACATGAAGATTAATAAAAATTTTACACCCTAGAGGAGACTCTAGTACGTTATTGTATATGAGTGTATACCCAGCACATTTTAAATAGTTAGATTTCCTGGAAATAAGTCTGAAAGCTCACTGATAACATTGTTTAAAAGAAATATAATTAGGGGGGTCACCTGGGTGGCTCACAAGAGTCGCATGCTCTACTAACTGAGCCAGCTAGAGCCCCCAGATTATTTACTTTTTAAAAAAATAACTACCACGGGACATCTGGGTGGCTCAGTTGGTTAAACGTCTGCCTTCGGCACAGGTCATGATCCTGATCCTGGAGTCCGGGGATCCAGTTCCGCGTTGGGCTCCCTGCTTAGTGGAGAGCCTGCTTCTCCCTCTGCCTGCCACTCCCCCTGCTTGTGCTCTCTCTGTCTCTCTCTCTTTTTTTTCTTTTTTTAAAGATTTTTATTTATTTGACAGAGAGACAGCCAGAGAGGGAACACAAGCAGGGGGAATGGGGTAGGGAGAAGCAGGCTTCCCGCAGAGCAGAGAGCCCAACGTGAGGCTCGATCCCAGGACCCCTGGATCATGACCTGAGCCGAAGGCAGACGCTTAACGACTGAGCCACCCAGGCGCCCCTCTCAATCTCTCTCTCTGACAAATAAATAAAATCTTTAAATAAAAGTTAAAAAAAAATAACTACCACATACATTAAGCTGAATATATAGACAGCTTTTGTTCTCTTTTAAAAATAAATGTGATGGCCTAAAACACTGACCTAAACTTTATTGGGATTTGCTATATAATTTGGGAGTTTTGATATTTCTTTGCCAGTTACTTTTTAAAATGTATGAGCTGTATATTAAAAAGGTCTAACACTTTTGGACTTTGTATTTGATGTGTGAACATAAGCAGTACCTGGATGTGAGGCAGATGTATTTAAGGTTTTCTGTCATATTCTTAGGACTTTAATCTTTTTTTATCCAATTAACTTCAGTTAATACTTTCTTGAAAGATGACCAGCCAGAAGGTATTTGGGCTGGAAATGGTGTCCATGTTATAGACATTCTATAAAAAATTAAAAGAACAAAGATAGTTCAAGACTGTGAATGATAGGTTTTGGGGAAGGAGGAAGAAATCAAAGCCCTGAGCTTAGAATTTAAACAGTCTGTTTCTTTAAACAACAATCTGCCTTTGAAAAACATCTTAAAAATGCTTGGTCACTGCTTTTTATATTGAAATTTGAGAAGACTATAAGGTAGAGGTCCAAAATTAGAAAATTGAGGCCATCTTGAACCAGAGTAGTAGGGGTACATTGCAATTTCTTATTGGTGCAGATTTTTACTGTTGTATATATTAGTTCCTCTTTAATTATCAATACCCTTAATATAATTTTAATGAATTCAATTTTAATATGCTTGCAATTTGTGTTTTGTCATTTACTACTACACTGTTTAATTCCATGGAAGAACCCATCGAAGGACATAACTGGGACACACTGGAGCAGAGCCAGTACACCCAAAAGGAAAGACATCATGGTGTGTAGTTCAGAAAAATGTGCAGTGTTAATATTATGCACTTTGACTCTCAGAGTTCTGCGGGCTTGAGTGATGGGTATATTCTAATGGAAATTGACACTTGCTGAACTTTGTTTCCACAAACAAAAAGTTGCTCTATTTCTTTTAATTTTATTTCAAATGAAGACTTTCAGGTAACTTTCTGTGAGAGTTAAATTCTTTCTGATAGACTGTCAAAGATTTGGAAATGTTTTAGCTAGAGCCCTTAATATCTTCAGTTCTTCCTCCTTTGGTGAATTATTTGTTTCTTTTTGTTTTTTTTTTTAAAGATTTTATTTATTTATTTGATAGAGAGAGGGAGAGCACAAGCAGGGGGAGGAGCAGGCAGAGGGAGAGGGAGAAACAGACTCCCTGCTGAGGAAGGAACCCGATGTGGGGCTCGATCCCAGGACCCTGGGATCATGACTTGAGCCAAAGGCAGCCACTTAACCGACTGAGCCACCCAGGCGCCCCGAATTACTTTTTTTTAAACAACGTAAATACCAATTGGCATGTACTAGGGGGATTCTTTTCGTTTACCCAGTTGTTCTAGTAGCAGTTGGAGTGTCCAAGCTATGGATTTCTTATCAGATAGATTCAGCAGTTTTTTTAAAAACCAGCTGAACTCTGCATTATATTTTAGAAAGGGAAAATTGAAATAGGTCAATTTCAATTCCTCTGTTAAATTCTATGCCTTTGTAAAATGCCATTGGTGCTACAGAGAGGATCAGAAAACATAAGACATGACTGTTTTCTTCAGTGAACTTACTGGTTGGGAGGGTGGAATAGTTTATATGCAAGAATGTGTGGCTTGAGCAATACATATTTTAGTGATGGTATTTTTTTTAAACAAAAAAGATATTTTGTTAATGGAGAGGAGACCTAAGTGAAATTTCTATAGAGAAGGAACTTTACTTTCAGGGAAATGTCACTATTTTACCATTGCACATAATTTACTAAATGTGCACCTTTAGGCATCTTAGAAAATTTTAGATAAACAAGATTTTTGTTATACATGTAATAACACTCTTTGCTGTTTGCCTCTTCTGGGTAAGATTGCTTAAAAGGTGTAAGCTAGAATGCTTAAAAAACAAAATTAGGGGCGCCTGGGTGGCTCAGTTGGTTAAGCGACTGCCTTCGGCTCAGGTCATGATCCTGGAGTCCCGGGATCGAGTCCCACATCGGGCTCCCTGCTCAGCAGGGGGTCTGCTTCTCCCTCTGCCCTCTTCCCTCTCGTGCTCTCCTGTCTCTCATTCTCTGTCTCTCAAATAAATAAATAAAATCTTTAAAAAACAAACAAACAAACAAACAAAAACAAAATTAGGAAATCACAATTCTTTTTTTTTTTTTTTTAAGATTTTTATTTGTTTATTTAACAGAGAGAGAGAGCACAAGTAGGCAGAGCGGCAGACAGAGGGAGAGGGAGAAGCAGGCTCTCCCCTGAGCAGGAAGCCCGATGCGGGGCTCGATCCCAGGACCCTGGGATCATGACCTGAGCTGAAGGCAGCCGCTTAACTGACTGAGCCACTCAGGCGCCCCAGGAAATCACAATTCTAAGTAGTTACTATTTAATTCAGTTTCTTGGATTCGAAATGTGGTATTATGCCTATTATCTTATTTTCTTAAAGACCCTACATGAAATGCGGTTTTTCTGGTCTTATCATAAATTTTATGTGTTTTTCTTTGATTGATATTTAATCCCACACTTGTATGTATACTGTGCATATTCCACACTTTGCTTGGACTAAGTTTCCAGTTTTGTTCAGTGTTTTTAGTAAGGAAAGGTCTTGAGAAAGGAAGTTTTTCAGCTGTGTCCACAGGCAGATCCAAGGGAACTTCCACATTTTGATGCTGCAATTGTTTTTTTTGTAAGCCTGATTATATATTAGTTATGTGCTCTCACTTCATTGTCCATGCCTTCCTTGCTTTTGCCATGTTTCAAACAATGGGAAATGATGGTAACAGCCACAATAATAGAAAGTAAAACATCTTTTTAATTTCAAAATGTTTAATTCCTGCATGTAAAGGCTCCCTGTGGGTGTTTTGTGCTAGGGTATACTGAGGTTGAGTCATCTCGCCATTATTGACTAGGAATTCTGTGTTTGAAAGAGAACATGCAGCGTTACATGTACAAAGAGTTTAGCAATCACTTATATTAGGAAAGTGTGGGTGTGGGGAAGAAGATTCTTTAATTCAAATGTAATAGCCTTTGTGTATAATAATTTTCAACTTTTAAAGTAGTGCTGAATTTTTTTAAATTGTTTTATTTAAATTCCAGTTTGGATTTTTAGTAACTTTGCAAACGTTGCTTTTTTCCTCTTTATATTTCTGATTTGGGGAATACAATCAACATTCAACTTTTTCTGAAATCCAGTATGATGCTCTCAAGGATAGATCATCAAGACTTTCATCATTAGTATGTAGTGCATGACTTTGTGTTAAATGTAGAGTTTTACTTTATAAATGTCTGATCACACTAATCATAGATTATGACTAACTTTCCACAGGTTTGTTATTATGTTTTGGGGAAAGCGTATGGCCAACGATGCAAAGACTGTTTTGCAATTGTGGCATAATTGAACATTTGAATAATTTTTTCTTTTAAAATTTCAGGATCAGATAAAAATGATTTGCTTCCTTATCCAGCACTAAGATTGGTAGTAATATCTTTTCTTAAAGTGATGAGCTCCTCAAATGACACATATGTGTTGCCTGGAAGACATGTTTCTGGCAGTGTTTGATACCCACTGAACTACAGGCCCTGCTGTGTTTGTTTCTTATTATGTGCCACAGGCTGGCAGGTGTGAAGTTGCTAAACAGGAAATAGCCAGCAGTGACGGGTGATACCTGAAACATCAATTATACCTGCTCGTTTTTGCTTGATTTGGTTGGTTTTTTATGTATGTCATTTTAGCCAAGGAAGTTTAGTTATAGCATGTTTTCCTTGGGTTAATATTATGTCAGTAGATTGCCTGAGTTTCTAGACAATATAGTCATCTCTTAAAATGTTCAGGGTAATCTATGAAAGGAAGGATATGCATATTCAAAAAAGAAAAATGAGTGGATGGATTCAGGATCTAGCTGTGCATATGACAGATGATTTGCCTGGAGCAGACTGCTGATAAGTAGGACGTTGCTAGCACCTCCTCATTTCAGGTGGGCAGTATATAGCTAGATTGGGTTTCTTGTCTACCTAATGATCTTTATACTAGTATTTCTGTCCTCCTTCATTCCCTCATATACACTTGGCTTTGTGCTCCTGGGAGAAGTTATGTATTGAGACAGGGCTGTCTTCAGAGGACCTGCGTGTAAGGTCATTGTCTGATAATGCTGTTGCTACAAGGGGCAGTCCATACTGTCTTGGCTGTTTTCCTCCTGAGCAGCATGTGCCGTGGGACCACTAACTTGGGTCAGGAGTATTTTCTTGGGCAGAGCAATGCTCAATCTTGTTTTGGTTGATCCCAAAGGATTGCCTTTTGGCCTTTTGCTAAGGTAGGCCTAGAAGGAAGTCGACCCTCTTGTCCCCCATACCTTTATAAAGAAGATAGAAAGCACTCAAATAAGATGTGGGGTGAACATCTTCACAAATGCCCTGCCTGGCTCTGAGTCCTAATTACATCTTTTTGAGCTGGCTGTACATGGAGATGGGATGGCACAGGGGAAAGTGAGGGGGAGTGAAGATGTGTAGAGGTGCTAGATACCTTAGCTAGTCAGTCAAGTGCCATGAATCATTTACTAACAGCTGGTAAATAGATTCCATGGGGACTGCTCTGTATCTCATATTCATCTTTCTGTGTATAATTTTAAGACGAAGTTTATTAAGTTATTTTTTAAACTTCACTATGTGATCATGAAAGTTAACTTCAAATGTTTACTTCCAGAATCATTCTTACAGTCATTCTTATGGAATGAAGAAGAGGTCTTCTGGTTCTCATAAAGACCCACTGGTTAGTTGTGTTCTGTCTCATGTCCCACTGTCTTGTGCTGCTATAAAATTCACTGATTACTTTTAGGGAACTTAAGAATTATGACTGCTTTGGTGTGTGCCTTAGGTATTATTGAAATTTGATAACATACTGAAACATGATTTATCAGAATCTTATTTAAAAGTAATTTTGTTTTCACTTACAGGATTTAATATCAAGTTAATACAAGAAGTTCATTAATCACCTACTTTCATTTATGAACTGTCCTTTGGAATATACTTCAAGAATAAGTTTAGTGAGGGCGCCTGGGTGGCTCAGTTGGTTAAGCGACTGCCTTCGGCTCAGGTCATGATCCTGGAGTCCCGGGATCGAGTCCCGCATCGGGCTCCCTGCTCGGCAGGGAGTCTGCTTCTCCCTCTCCCGCTCCCCATTTGTGTTCCCTCTCTCGCTGTGTCTTTCTCTGTCAAATAAATAAATAAAATCTTAAAAAAAAAAAAAAAAGAATAAGTTTAGTTAGATTATTTATTTATTTATTTATTAAAGATTTTATTTATTTATTTTGACAGAGAGAGAGAGATAGCAAGAGCAGGAACACAAGCAGGGGGAGTGGGAGAGGGAGAAGCAGGCTCCCCGCTGAGCAGGGAGCCTAATATGGGGCTCGATCCCGGGACCCTGGGACCATGACCCAAGCCGAAGACAGACACCCAATGACTGAGCCACCCAAGCGCCCCAAGATTTTTTATTTATTTTTGAGAGAGAGAGAGGGAGAGAGCACGAGCAGGGGGAGGGGCGGAGGGAGAAGCAGAGTCCCTGCGGAGCAGGGAGCCCGATGCGGGACTTGATCCCAGGACCCTGGGATCGTGACCTGAGCCGAAGGCAGATGTTTAACCGACTGAGCCACCCAGGTGTCCCCAGAAAACAATGTATTATGTACAATGTCAGGAATATAAATTGAATTTGTTAGAGCCTTTTTTTTTTTTAAAGATTTTATTTATTCATTTGAGACACAGAGATACAGAGAGAGAGAACATGAGCAGGGGGAGAGGCAGGCTTCCTGCTTGCTGAGCCAGGAGCCCAATGTGGGGCTCCATCCCAGGACTCTGGGATCATAACCTGAGCTGAAGGCAGACAGGATCGTGGGATCACGACCTGAGCCGAAGGCAGACGCTTAACCATCTGAACCACCCAGGCGCCCAATGTTAGAGTTTTTAATAGATTATTGATGGTGATAGAGAATACTGAAATACTCTTTCTGTTAGGCTGCCACAGTACTGGCGGGAGAATCACTCCCAAGCTGCCTGTTAACTGGGTTCCTGTGGAAGGGGCTCTGACCTTTGGTAGGGTGAGAGAGGATCAGTAGGCTTTGGCTGGTAGAAGGGAATATAATGGAGAGGACATTAGTGAGAAGCCCTGGAGGGTGAAGCCTTGGGAGCTCTGGGGAGAGGTTAGTCCTGGTGCCTTGTTGAGGGGGTGGTGTGGGGAGGCCAGGCCAGGAGTGGCAGGGGTCAGTGGGCACACGGATTCCCCCCCCCCGATTGCAGTATCAGCAGTGCAGGAGGAGGCCATCAGTCAGGGATTGCTTACATTTCCTTAACTCTGAGTGAAAAAGATGGCTGGATAAGTTAGAAAGGGAGTTTTATAGATGATGGCCTCTTTGCCAGGTAACCACAATCTGTATAATGGCCTGTTTGTGCGGTGTATTGAAGATGAACCTGCCATAGATGTTTTAGGCCAAACCTGTTTAGTACACACTTGCACTGTGTCTTTGGTAACTTAATTCAATATTTTGACAAATAATGGGACTAGGAAAAGTTTGAAGAAAAAGACTTCACTGTTTTCTCTGGCATTGCCAAGTGGATTATAAAAGTGGTAATTACTCAGTTGTCTTGGATTTTTCAAGGATGTTACTAAGTATGGCATGAGAATAAATCACTTATTATTTCCATTCCATTTTGACTGAGGCTTTATGCTCATGTTTTTAAAATAAAAAAAATTAGTAATGACTTGGTTTGAATACAGTTAACCTTTAATATTAGTCTTTTTTGGAGACCTGAGATAATTATTATTTTGACTTTTACTTAATGCAATTCAGTGCTTTAAAGTCATTGTTTTGGAGGAGAGAGGGTTTGGCAATATTAGAGTTTGCCTTTGTGTATTGTCAACAATGTTTAACCTAAGAAAAATGTGTTTAATTTTACTTTTTGCAGAGTGGCCTCTACTTTGACCAGAGAAACTATAGCAGTCTTAGACATAGCAAACCCACCTCTGCCTACTACACTCGGGTTTGTCTCAAGCTTTTTGGCTTTGTTTGTTTTATCCAACTTTAACACACTTCTAACCCCTGGTTTTGCATTTTGACTAGTTAGAACTAATCTGTGAGTGGCTGTGTGTGCACTGGTTTGTGGTAACTGAATTCATAGAGTCTATGTATCTTTAGCTGATGTGAACTATTGAACCACCACATTTATAAATGAGTACTATTTTCCCCAGTTTTTTAAAATGAAAAATACTTAACATACAAAAATGTTCAAAGAATTGTATATTAACCACCCACGTGCCTACTACTTAGATTCTACAATTCATATTTTACTATATTTCCTTTATCATATTAATGTCTATCCATCTATCCATCCATCGATCCATCTTTTTTGGGGGGATGTTTTTCAGAATAAGTTGTAGGCATCACTACACATCATGGTGGTTGGCCTTTTAATAAAAGCTTACATGTAAAAATTTAAACTAATTGGGATGAAAAGAATATTTGTTTAATGTTAGAATCCTTGTTTTTTCAAGACATTTGGCACATCATACATTTAAAACAAATATGTGGCACATAGTACATAGAAAATAATTCAGTTGTCAAAACCTGCACACGCAACTTAGATATTCTTATTTTCCCTGTCTGATGGGCTTGGAAAAAAGAGTTGAAAATTATTTTCAGATGACATCAGAAGAGGAAAGATTTAATTCCATTTTTAAAAATGCTGTGCCTTGTTAGTGACTTGAATTTGTTGTGACCAGTACATTTTTTCTGATTAAACTAAGATACTTTGTCCATGGCTTGTGTATTTGTAGTGTAACTTGGAGCTCATTTACCTGGTTCCTCAGCAGTCAGGCTAAGCTCATCAAGAGTCTGCTGTGAGATCTCAGAAAGTGTCCCAGGAGCTGCTGGTGACCCGGGTGTGGCCACTGTTCTCCACACTCCCTGTGCCGTGGCCCTCTTTTCTTGAGTGTTTTCTTAGGTTGCCACCCCATCTCCTAACATTACTATTGAAAGCCCAGTAAGACTTAAGCACATTTATAGAAAACTATTCCACGTGTTTCTCTTATCCCTTAAAATGGGTATTCAAAAAGATTTCTAATGGCTAAGTTTTCCTCACCTTATGTGTTACTTAACTCCCTTAAGCATTCAGGAATTGCTAATCAATTATGGAGTGTAGAATAAACACAGCTTCTGCTCTCGTGATGGAGAGACCAAGTCTCCTTTTGCTGAATTATCTTGTTCTGTTTTGTTTTTGTTTCTTAACAGTCTTCTTCCCTGTGTAGTGACCCTCTGGCGACCTCAAAGAGTACCAGGGTTAGTACTTTCTGAGAAGTGTCTTGCCTTCAGAGCTACCAGTTGCTTTTCTTTGGGTTAAATCATGCGCTTTTTTCATAGGCCTCCTCTACTGCAAATTCTGGTCTGCTGAGAAGTACCAGCCTGGTTTGTATTTTTCTCTTCCAACGTGTGTACTCCTGGTGGAGCCACTGTCATGGTGCTGACCCTGGCTTGACAGCTTTCCTCCAAAACAGTCAAGGACACGGGGCTTTGATGCTTTGTACACTGCAGAATGTGCTGCCAATGCTTAAAATGCAAAACTTTAGGGTAGTAAGAAAAAAAACAAAAACAAACCAGCCCTATTTTCCAGATAGTGCTGGCTGTTGGTAGGCCATTGCTTACGGTTGGTTTCCTGTAGAGAAGACAACCTTGCATGGGCCCCACTACACTTGTATACTTTTGTGAGATGGTTGCCCATGCACAGATGTCATATTTCCTTTGGGACAGCTGTGACCTTGGCCGTGTTAATACTAGGCTCTAATAAAGCAAGCTGACTAGGAAGCAAAAGCCATTATCTGTGTAACGTGCGCCATAGTTCTGTGTAATGTGCAAGTTGTGAGCTGGCTGCTTTCAGGCTGTTGCTTTGTTGTGCTGTGGCCTGTTCTCGTAGACTGGCAACTGGAGGCTTTGTAGGTTCATTTTATTGTGCCAGTGGGCAAAATGCTTTATGTCCCTCACTTTGCTTTTCTGCTCAGTCCCCTCTTTAGAGAGAATAAATTCATAAATGTTCCTTCTCCTAGTTTCATAACATGATGGTGAAAAGAAATACTGTAATGGTGCTTTTTAAAGGAAGTGTGAGTTTGAAGTTTTGGGACTGATGTAGGACTTCACGCGTATCAGTGAATGTTCTCACCTGACACACTACACTACAACACTTTTTTGGAACCGAGTACTTCGAAGAAATTGTGACATTTTCAAAACAACTTTGATACCTGAATAAATAGATGAGTGGTATTTCCTCTGTTCTTTAGGTGTCATTGTATCATGGTGGATTATATAACCCTTATGGGTCTCGAACTGTAAGTCCAACCAGGGGGAGGTGGTGAGGAGGGAGGTGTGTAGGTGGGTACAGTTTACTTACAAAGAAAAAGTCATTTAATCTGACCTGCAGTTGCTCTGTAAGTTGTGACCCATAAGCTAGCCAACGGTGACTCTCACCCAAATTGTGAGGAACTGCCTGCTGGAAATCATGGCTCACAGTATGAAGGGAATATAAGTGGAGAAACCTCTTTTCCTGCTCATTAGTCCCTGAGGAAGAGGATGGGAGCAGTGCTCCTCAGGGCATCCCCTTCCCCTCCTCACCCTCCAGCTGAGGGCTGCTGGATCTAGGGGGTTGGGAGAAAGGTAGAGTTCCAGACCTGGGAGAACAGTCACCTTCACCCCGGGATCCAGCGGCCACTTAGGTCCAGGGTCACGAATGTATTCCCCCAGCAGGCAAAGGAGGTGGCCATTATTGTAAAACCTTTCTTCTTGGAAACTTTATAGCCATCTGAATACAGTTACTACTCATCAAGAACAAGTTCGGCCCGAAGCAGTCCTGTGGTGAGCTGTCTGGTCTCTTTGCATGCTTTATAGATACTTTCAGTTGTTTCCTTAATCTGTACTCACAGTTCGGAATATTGAGGATGCGTGTTTCACTCTTTTGTGCATGGATTGTCATTTTCCTTCAGTACACAAACTCAGGTATACTAATTTGTCCTAATTGGTGGTTTCTGTGTGAATGTGACTTAGCACACAATTTCTGAAATGAGTCTGGAACCAGTGCCATTAGAAGTTTTAAAAAATTTGTATTGTCGTTTATGTGAACTTCTTATCTTTTCAGTGGTGATAATTCACTATATGGGTTGATTATCCTATGTTTCTCTTTTCTGTCTCTGCTTTCTGCATTGAGCCATTTCACTTGCTTGCCAGCACTTCAATCAATGGAGTGAAAGGAGAAGTAATAAAACAAGTCAGCTTTTAAAAATTGTTTACATAAAAGACAAAACTGGGATAATTCTAATCACCCAATCTTTCTGGAATATTAAAACTTTTTTTTTTTTTAAGTTATAAAAGTAGTATTAGCTTAAGGAAAGTCCAAAGTAAAAGTCCCCTGACCCTTTCTTTCCCTATGTTCCCTTTTCTACTGAGTGCGTTTTGGAAATAGTTTTATGTCAGCACATTCTTTTTAATGGCGGTATATTATCCCACTAGTGCATGGGTTGTACATTTCTTTTTGAGGATTTCTTTTCATAGGTATTGTTTTTGGTTTTTGTTTTTAAACTGTAGTTGACACACAAGGTTACATTAGTTTCAGGTGTATAACATAGTGATGTGACAACTCTGTATATTATGCTGTGCTCGCCACAAGTGTAGCTCGCATCTGTCACCACACAGCATGATTACAATACCATTGACTATATTCTCTATGCTGTAGCTTTTATCCTTGTCAATCATTAAATAACTGGAAGCTTGTATTTCCCACTCCCTATCGATGGACATTTAGGTTGCTGTATTTTTGCTACAGCAAACACTTGCATAATGGACTGTCGTATACAGTTGTATTTTTGTGTACTTATGAGTAGATCTCATGTAAGGTAGATTGCTAATCATTAAATGATGGGGGTCAAAGAGTATATACATTTAAATTATGATGCATATTGCCGTATTGCCCACCAAAAAAGACTAAACTAATTTACATTTCCAATGGCAAATGATGACTTTAGGAACTACTTTGTTATTCTTGACAGTGTCAAAATAGGAGAAATTACTAAAGCAGTTTCTTAATGGTCAGTACAGATTGCTCTGTGGAGTGGAATAGGTGAGCTATATAGATTTTATTTTATATTCATGTTGGGCTCTGTTCTCCTGCCATTTCCAAGGGGCACTTCTCAAGAATTCCACTCCTATGCTTAACAAAAATGTACACAGGAATGTTTAAGGAGATAAAGGCTTTTTGATTTAAGTAGGAAGTTTACTTTTACCTCACTCCATAATAAAATTCCACTTGGCAATTCTGGGACCCGATAGCATTTTTAATGTACCAATATGATGGCCCCTTGCAAACAGAATTATGGTAATACATTTTCAGTCAAGTGTAGAACCTTGTCCTTGTGTGCTGGCTGCATGTTATTTCATTTGCAAGTTGGGTTCAGAGTTATTATCTTGGTGATGCCAGAATGGTTCCTCAGTGATGTCAGAATAGAGGTAACTTATACACACGGAAGATGAGTCTTCTGCTGCTCATGGAACAGGAAGAAAACTGTAGGGTGACATTAGAAATATCTCCACGCATTGCATAGGAATGAATAAAGGAAAATAAGAATCATCATTTCAGTGTCCTTGCTGGTAGGAAATTCTGTCTTTGACTTATTTCACCTGAAGATATTCTTAGATTTTTTTCTCTCCCGAACTTAGGCATTAAGTATACTTGTTGACCCCCTGATGGGCTCCAAAGGGCCTAGTGGTTTAAAAAGCATGAAATCCAGGCGCCTGGGTGGCTCAGTTGGTTAGGCGACTGCCTTCGGCTCGGGTCATGATCCTGGAGTCCCGGGATCGGGCTCCCTGCTCGGCGGGGAGTCTGCTTCTCCCTCTGACCCTCCCCCATCTCACGCTCTCTCTCTCTCTCTCTCTTTAAAAAAAAAAAAAAAAAAAAAAAAGCATGAAATCCCTAGCTGGTGTTGGTTGGTCTGTTTATGCCCTAGCCCTCCACTCCTGTCCTCTTTTTTTCTACAACTTAAATAAAAGAGAAAGTAGTATTTTATTCTGTGTGCTTTGTAGAAATATCGTTTGGTTTTTAATGCTGCTTTATTATACTTTGAAGCCACTTTTCTGTTTGATGGTGCACAATAGGTGGTGCCAATTATATGCTCATGTAGAGTAATTGCATGCTTCCCCAAACCTTACCTAATGTGCTTGCAGCCAGGTAAGACCTATAGTGAAATCACATGTTTTTCATTATCTGCTTTTAATATCTGTAGTTTACCAATGATGACACTGCAAGCATTGCATCCTCTGGTCGCGCCAGTCGTGGGCGAAGGGACAGTGTGGTGAGCGTGGTTTGCATGCAAACTCATACAATAAGTTTTTAAATTGCCCCCCTGTATGTGATCCCATGAAATCTCCTGGAAAATGAAATTTGCATTTGACAAAAATGAGCATTTTCCTCAAATTTAGTTTATATGAATAATTTGCCTTCAAAAATGTGTTCCTGTGAATATGTATTCTCTGTGGGCTATGGAAGCTTTCATCAGTAACTTGCCTCTTTACACCTCTTATGTGCAGGTCTTTGTGTATTTGAAAGATTTTCACTTTTTATTCTTTGTTGCTGTTTTATGTGCATGCATTTATGTGCACAGTTCACCAGTAACAAAAGTTTCTCCAGCAAAATGAATGCTCCACTTTGCATAAAACTTGTTAACTATGGGTTACAAATCATGTTGCCATCAGTTGCTTTCTTCGCTGTGTATTTAAGATGTATTGTTTATAGTTTATACATCTTTTAAGACCTGTGAACTTTTTAATAGTCGTAGGTGGCAAAATTTAGAAATTCTGGTCAAAAATTCTGGTTAAAAATTCAGCTAGCATAATAATTGTAGAGACAACAAATAGCTAGGTCAAAATACAGATTGGTGTAATTTCAGATTATTCTTTTGATGATGCTGGAAGTTTTTCAGAGAGCTGATGACATTTTTGCTATATTTAAGAATTGATTTGAAAATTACATTGGTAAGCATGATATGTCAGCTTAGAGCTACAAAAGAGCCATGTTTTGTGAAAGATTGTAAACCTGAAGCTTTCATAGAAAAGGGAAACACCAAGTGTTTGTGAGATTTGTTGCCAAAAATGCAGTGATCTGTTTAAGGCAATTGTGGTCCATTGGCGAACCAGTTAATGCTCATACAGCTGAAGGAGAAAAAACAAGCCAGGACACCTGAAAGCACCTTGGAAAGTGATGGAGTAGAAAGGGCAGGAAGGGACTTTAAAGTAATGATGCCTGGGTTTGAGCCACTTCTACAACCTGTTAGTTGTGTTAATGGCAATTTATTTGTAATGGGGATGTTAATGACTGTCTTTGTAGGTAGGCTTAATATATGCAAATGAATTACTTATGGAGAAGAGCTACAAAGTTCTTGAGACAGTAGGAACCAGTAAAATATTAGGTATATGTAAATCTAAGTTGTATTACTATTACTATGAATAAAAATATTGTTGCTTGACTGCCTTAGCCCTTAGCAAAACTTCACACTTGTAAGCCTTCTTTGTCTCTGTGGATGGATTTCCAAATTCACTTCCTGGAATGGAAGAGTTTTTAAGCAAGGTAATCAGACAGAGCTGAGGTAAGAAAAGCTGATAAGTGAGGTAAAAAATACTCCCTACTTACTAATTCAACAGATGTTTATGGAGTACCTATTATATGTGAGGCATTGTATTAAGTGCTGGGAATAATGTGGTAAGCTAGACCAGATTTCTGATTTCATGGAGCTTATATCCTAGTGAAAGAAATAGAAAATAAACAAGTAAACAAAGAAAGAAAAGAGAAGTAACCCCAGGGATTGTGAAGAGAACAGGAGGTGATGGGACAGGGAACATTGAGGGATGCATGTGCGAGTGTGCATCCCTTTGGAGGGGGTGATCAGAGAAGGCTTCCCCAGGGAAGTGACCTTTGAGCTGCGACTTGAAATGGGAGGAGCCAGCTGCCTGAAGAGCGGGAGAAGAGCTCTAGGCCAATGACAAAGTCTCAGGTGGGAAAAGACTGAGTTTGGGGAACCAGAAAGGGGCCAGTGTAGTTCTTTCATTATTTTGTCTCACAGTTCCTGGTCTTGAGGAGTATGAAAAAGAGGGAAGTGTAGAAATTGAGCAAATAGTGCAATAAATACCCTGCAAAGAATGCTGCATTGAGCATATATGTGCTTAACAGAGTTGATAGCTGTAATGAACTATAAGTTTTTGAAATATGGTAGAGGCTTGAGGTAAATAGTATCCTAGTGAGGATGATGCATGTGCTAAACACGGGAGCCTTTGCTGGCCCTCGGCAGTAAATGATCTCTGTGGTATACAACTCGAGTTAAGGTGCATAAAAGCTTGTTTTAGAGAGCTGTGATTTCCTTTAGAAACCCTTTTATGTTTCTTTTCTACTTTTTTGAGTAGGTTAATTGCAGCGGTTTCCTCATTGCATGATACTTTATCAAGCACCAAAACAATATTTGTTTTCCTCATTTGACAATGTTCTTATCCTTCTCCTCTCTCTTTTCTTAACCTTTAAAGCATTTCATTTTTTTCTGATTGAAAGGTTTCTACCGCTGATTATTTTAGTCGCTCCAATCGTAGGGGGAGTGTAGTCTCAGAGGTGGATGACGTCAGTATCCCCGATTTGACCAGCGTGAGTGTATTGCATGGGGGTGGTTTTGGCGTCTCAGGCTTGTGACTAACGGCTAATACATTAGCTATTTGAAAGTTAGGAGCTTAATTTACTGCTTTAATTTTTATTGGGATAGAGTAACATAAAGTACAGTTATTTGTTTTGTTTTGGAATGTATATACTGATATGCTTTGATTTTTTAAAAAAACTTTTCTGTGAAAAATTTCACCTGTAGAACCCGTCAGCAGCTCCAAAAATTACCAGTGTTTTGCCAATTTTGCTTCATCTCTTTCCTCCCTTTTCCCTTTTTTTTTCCTGAATTATTTTAAAGCAAATCCATGTCATTTCCCAGTAGTTTAGTATGCATCTCTAATTGAGAATTTCTTTTTCATATTTACTCTACCATTATCATACCTAATAAAATTAAAAATAATTCCTTAAAACCTCTAATACCTAGCCCATATTTAGATATCCCTGATGAGTCTTAAAATTTTTCTTCCCTTTTTATTTTGGTGAATATATAAAGTACTAGACAGACTTTGAAGGTTGAACAATAGGAGATATATATATATATTTTTAAAGATTTTATCTATTTGACAGAGAGAGACACAGCAAGAGAGGGAACACAAGCAGGGGGAGTGGGAGAGGGAGAAGCAGGCTCCCCGCGGAGCAGGGAGCCCGATGTGGGGCTCGATCCCAGGACTCTGGGATCATGACCTGAGCCGAAGGCAGACGCTTAACGACTGAGCCACCCAGGCGCCCCTGAACAATAGGAGATATTACTTAGTAAAGTGTCACTAATTTATGGTAACTGGGAAGAATCTAAATAGATTTTAAACATTTGGACTATGGCATTATTTTGAAGAAATGCCTGTCCATTGCTTTCACATCATTGGGAACTGAATTTAGGAAAGATTGTCCTTGATGCCTTGAGGCATTTGTCTTAATGAAGGAACTCCAACCAGCATATACCTCCCTGCCTGATCTAATAGCCTCTTTTTCTCTTTGACACCTCCTGTCCCTTGCTGGGATTAGTTTTGTTTTGCCCATAGACCAATGCTGTCTGATTTTCAAGCACTTTGAAGCAGGTGAGAGGCAGTGTTTCCTAACCAAAAAGTTAGTTTTGAATGAAGAGATATTATTTATATTTAGCACATTGCTCGTTGTATTTAAATAGCTACTTTTGAATGACTTTAATCCTGGAAAATAATTTTAAGTGTGGTCTTTAAGTATTCCAGATTGTTGGATCTCAAACCTGGCTGTATATAGCAACCCTGTCTTGCCCTCTGTCAGATCAAGGAATCTCTGCACGCAGAGTTGGAAGATTGGCTCCCGAGTCTTTCCCCTGAAATATTGCTCATTTTATTGGTTTGCTTAGCAACTTATTCTTTTTTTTTGTAGATATAAACAATTTAATTTATTGTATACACCTTTTTTTCTTAAAAACTTTGAATTCTGTTAGCCTTTAATTTGTGATGGTGGTTATGTCCTCCTTATGTGTATTTCTTGGCAATTTATTTTAGTAACTACACAGAAGTGAAAAGCTTGATAGTTAAAAAAAAAACAAACTCCCTGCTTCTACTAATTTAATATAACTCTTTTCTTTACCCAGGTAATTATTTTGGTTTATTTACGTATTTTTAAATAAAAATTATACATATTTAAGGTGTATAACGTGATGATTTGATATGTATACGTTATTATATCAAATCATCATGCTGTACACCTTATAACATAAACAAAAGATTCTCTAGAGCAGTGGTTAGCAAATATGGCCAGCAACCCCTTATTTTATAGCCTGTGAGCTAATGGTTTTTATGTATTTTTTTCATGATTATCTAAGTACCTATATGATATCCTTAATTTTGCCTTTTGGCAAAGCCTAAAAATTTGCTGTTCCCCTCTCTAGAGCAAAAATTTTCTCTAATATTATTTCTTTTTTTTTTTTTAAGATTTTATTTATTTATCGGAGAGAGAGAATGGGAGACAGAGAGCATGAGAGGGGGAGGATCAGAGGGAGAAGCAGACTCCCTGCTGAGCAGGGAGCCCGATGCGGGACTTGATCCTGGGACTCCAGGATCATGACCTGAGCCGAAGGCAGTCGCTTAACCAACTGAGCTACCCAGGCGCCCTAATATTATTTCTTTTAAAGGGTAACTATACAGCTCATTGTAGACAAATGAAAAGTGGACTTGACATTGGTAAGATCCTCCCCACACACTCCACTTTTTGATATAAGCTAGGAAATCTGCATTTTTTTGTGAAATAGCCTGATTTTAAAATGCTGACAATGAATTCAAAATTTTAAAAGTCACTTTCAGGCTTCCGCATTGTGGATCAGATAAATGTGTACATTCTGCTCCATTTATAACTTCTGAGCTAGGTGTGCTGAAAAAGGGTGCCAGGCCCTGATTTGGCAAGACTCACTATCTGGATATTTATGATTGCTCAAGCCTCTGGTCTTTTCTTCTGCATTGTTCCTTTGTCCCATCAGTCAGGCTGGGGAAAAGGATGTAAATGTGCTTTCATTTTACTGATTGTTAATAATCAGACCATTTCTGAATGGAATCCTCAGCCATTTTTGCTTTAGGAGATTATTAAAATTAATTGCTCCCTTCCCTTCTGTGGTTAGGGAATCAGTCATTAGTTTTCTGGTTATTTTTTTTTCTCCATTAAACAGAATTTTTGATGCATATTATCATCCATATATAAAATTAGAAGTTAAAGGATTAGACTCCAATAACTACATTAAACAACACTATAAATACTTTGACTATAGTTTTATAACTTAAAAAATAAGTTTATTCAAATGCCTAATTATGAATACCTTTATCTTCTGATCATATATATTACATTAGATTTACTGATACAGTTGACAGGAATGGGTGCTGCATGATATACCTCAGATATGCATAGCTCAATTACATCAAATCTCTGATACCTTTTTTTAATATATTTTTTAAGACTTTATTTATTTGAGAGAGATAGAGAGCATGAGAGTGAGAGAGAGAGAGAGAAAGAGACCACAAGCAGGGGGAAGTGGTAGAGGGAGAGGGAGAAGCAGGCTCCCCGCTGAGCAGGGAGCCCGATGCGGGGCTCGATCCCATGACCCTGGGATCATGACCTGAGCTGAAGGCAGACGCTTAACCTACTGAGCCACCCAGGTGCCCTCAACTCTCTGATGTCCTTTTAAGAAAAAAATATAATTAGAACAAGATGTAAGTCTTTATTTCTAAACAACTCTTTTAAAAAATCTTTTTTATTTTTTCTTTTGAGAGAGAGAGTGCACACAAGGGGAGGTGGAAGGGGTAAAGGGAGAGGGAGAGAGAATTTTAAGCAGGCTCAGCACTCAGCATAGAGCCTGACCTGGGGCTTGATCTCACGATCCTGAGATCATGACCTGAGCTGAAATCAAGAGTCAGATGCTTAATCAGCTGAGCCACCGAGGTGCCCCTCTAAACAACTCTTAAATGACAGTATCGAAATGTATTTACAACTAGAATTCTCTATTTCTATTCAAAAGGTTCAATTGTATTTTACCATTTTAGTAAGGTAAAATTATCTGTCAAACTAAGTAACCATATGCTGAAATGAAGTTCAAAGGGCTTTTTATCCAGAGAATAAATAAACATCTTTCTTTTAAGAAGAAATAAAGAGTTTCAAGGATTTGACAAGATATGTATTCTAAGAAATATTTCTCACATGTACTAATTTCAACAAATATTCAAGGAGTTTAGATTTAAAGAGAAACAATCCATAATTTCTAATGTCAAGAGCAAAGCATTTTCAGATGTCCCAGACATAAATAAGGCAAAGGCATTTATCACTGAAATGTGGGAAAGATTATATTTATTTAAGATTTTGTTTACTAGTTGATAACTTGAAATTCTTTAAGAAAATACTACTTTTGAACTTTAAAGCATTCAAATTGGAATATAAAGTCTGCTACCATGTGTTCTTTTTTTTTTTTTTTTTTAAAGATTTCATTTATTTGACAGAAAGAGACACAGCGAGAGAGGGAACACAAGCAGGGGGAGTGGGAGAGGGAGAAGCAGGCTCCCCGCGGAGCAGGGAGCCTGATGTGGGGCTCGATCCCAGGACTCTGGGATCATGACCTGAGCCGAAGGCAGACGCTTAACGACTGAGCCACCCAGGCGCCCCTGTTCTTCTTTTTTTAAGAGTTGTTTGTTAAAGAGTATGCAGGCATGGGCATGTATACTCGCAGGGGGGACAGAGTAGCGGGGGAGGGGGCAGAGGGGAGAGGCAATCTCCAGCAGACTCCCCACTAAGCAGGGAGCTGGATATGGGGCTCTATCTCAGGACCCTGAGATCATGACCTGAGCTGGAATTAAGAGTCCAACTCTTAACCGAGTGAGCCACCCAGATGCCCTTGCTCTTCTTTTCACATTAATACGAATATGAAATATTACAAGCTTGTTAGCTGACTTCCAAGTTCCAGCTATCAAAGAAACCCTTTTCATGATTGGAAAATTACCTATTTAATTATTTAAGGGTACAGTGCCATGATATTTACTTGAAACTTTTTGAGAATAGTAAGGTACAGTTAACATTAATGACTAAGTCCTGAGGGCCATATTTGGGAGAAGGGAGGAAGCTTTGCTTAGTGTTTTCTTGTTTTGGTTTTTTTTTTTTTAATCTACTTTTTTATTAGCAACTTTCTTTTTTAGCAACTTGATTTACTTTTAGTATTTTTTTCTATCTTGGTTTAATTTGCATGTTTTACAGAATTGTGACCATAAAGTATATACAGCCTTTGTTTTCTGATTTCTCACTTACTAATCTTATAAGATCCTCTTAATTCATCTTATAGCTGAAACCTTGTATCCTTTTACCAACCTTTCCCTATTTTATACCTTAATGTATTAAACATGATTAAATTTTATTCCACTTAAAAGCCTTTTCAGGATCCGGCAGACTCTGGGTCATAATTATGAACATTAGTGTGTCATTGCAGAGCAGTTGTGTAGAGCTCCTGGCTGCTAGAGAGAGCACTGGGGCTTTTAGAACACCAGGTGTCAAGTAGTGTTTTGTCTAAGTGGAAGACAGCACATAATATAGCACAATCTGAGAAGTGAGAACTGGAGTCTCTGGCCAAGTCACTGCAGCCCAAATGACTGGACTGCGGCGTGGCTGCTCTTGGTATTTTTTGCTGCCTTAACAATCCATGAGGTTTGGCGCATGATCAGTTTGGGTTGCGACAGTTGGGATCTGTCAGAAGACAGTGAAAGCAATAGAATCAACATTGCGATGGACTAGTTCAATGATGCAGCCTCTGAAATGTAAGATCATTCCAAGTTGACTGTTAAAAAAAATGGATAGACTTGGGGGTCATTTTTGTGGGAGGGGAATATGAGCCAGGATTTTAAATAGACCTAGAAGAGTGTTTCTGAGTGTTGCTTGTTTTTGTCTTTAACTCATTAGTAGAAGAGAGTTGGGAGATACTCTGAGGAAAATACGGCAGTTTTATTCAGATACAGTATTTCTTTGATCCTGAAGAATAACACTCTAAGTATCAGGCAATGTGTTTTACTAGTATAAATGTGATGGAAGGTTATTCCTTTTTGTGACAATAATTGTTAACTACTGTAATTGTTTGTTTTTGAACATTTTATATGCGATTTAGAAAAAATTAAAGTTAACTAAAATTAATTCCTTTTTAAGAGTATTATAATAGGGTCTCTCTGTCAAATAAATAAATAAAATCTTTTAAAAAAGAGTATTATATTAAAAAGTAGCAAAAAGAGATCAAAGTCTGAGATAGTATTTATATTACTTTAAGTACTTTATATAGTACTTCTAATAAACACCTTTTATTATAAACAGTGTTTGTTATATAAACACTGAGGAAAAAATGAACATGATAAATGTGGGCAATGAAAAAGAACAGGAAAACTTTCAATTATGAGGAAGTTAGAGTGAAGTGATCTGAATAGAGCCAGAAATAATGGTATTTTGTGTTTTAATAATTAACTGAGGAAAGTTTTCAAATCTTTTTTCTAGATTGGGCTGGGAGGGTTGGTCTAGGTGTTGGAGTCTGGGTATATTTTCATTTAGTTAAATCTCTCTGTAACTTTTTCCCCCTAATGGTAATTGGGACAGTATATCCAGGTAAATTATGTGAACACAGGGTTAAAGATTTGCAAAACTGAGATCTGGACTCAGCCCTGATTAGTAGTAGTTCAGCTTTCAGGAAAATCTTTTGCCTCTGAATTTCTCTTTCCTCAGCTGTAAGGTCAGGGTTTGGGATTAGACCTATGAGGTACCTCTCTTTATGAAAGAAACACTAATCCTATCCACAGAAGATAGGATAACTCAGTTATGCGTACCCAGATGATAGGACACTATGTTGTTGTTAAAGTAAATGAAGTAAGTCTGTAAGTACAGATGAGGTATGATTCATTTACTCATTTGCCCAACAAATTTTGAGTCCTTCTATATGCCAGGTGCTGTTTTTGATGTTAGGAATACAGAAATGAACATATAGACATAGAACATACATTAAAGAGAAAGAGATCAAACAATAAATAAACGAATAAATATCATGGGATTAGGGAGTGATCAATGCCATGAAGAAAAATGAGGTAGTTTCTGTAATCTCTGAAACTTGGTAAGGAGAAAAAGAAGATATAGAATGTATTTGGGACATTACTTTAGAATTTGTTAAAGACACGGGGGCCGGTTGCCCTTGGATGGAGAATTGGAAGGTTTGGGTGTGGTATAGTAGGGAGAGAGGCTTACTTCACATACCCTTTTGTGCTGGTTGATTTTTTTAAATTTTATTTTTGACGTATGTACATGTATTGCTTAAAAAAGCAAAAAAAAAAAAAAAAAAAGCCAAAGAACTGAATCCTTAAGAGCTGTGGGGGAAATCTTTTTTGATGATATATTTAACTTGCTTTAGTTGAATTTGAACTTTTTTTGGCTAAGTATACTGGTCTTATCTATGTGTCCCGTGTTCTAATAATGTTTAGATAATAAAGTTTTTTGGCTTTTGGTTTTATCAGTCTTTTTCTTTTGATGTGTACAAGTTTTTTTGGTGTGTGTGTGTTAACATTTGCATTGCCAAAGCTCAAGTTTACATATATTTTTCTTTAACGTGTTTCAAATACCATGAAAAGGAAAATCTACAGGTTCTAAACATGCATAAGAACAGCTTGCTTACTGCATGTCATCCTTAGGGTAAGAATTGAAGTTGTTGACATTTTGTCTTATGTGTCTCAACTTTTATTTCAGTTTCAATATGTTTACTTTTAGGTTCCAAACATCAGTTGAACTTGGAGAACTCAAATGAGGTCACTTTTTTTCCTCTAAAAAAACCCCTAGCATGCTAAGCATCTCTCCTGATTTTTATCTCTGTTCTTTTCTAGTTGGATGAAAAATCTGACAAACAGTATGCTGAAAATTACACAAGGGTGAGTACATAAATTCCTATGGGAATTAGATTCTCAAGGTCAATTAAACTTAATTTCTACTGCTATTTCATTATTTTACTACATTTGAACTGGTGGAGCTACTCTTCCTTTCTTCATCTATTTCCTGTCCTTGACCCCCCAAATTCCTCTGAGGTTGAATCATGTGAAGCACTGGGAAGAGAAAAGACACTGCATTTTATTTCCTTGAATGTCACTTCTTAAGCTTTTGGCTGCTCTTTTGATTTTCATTCCCTAGAATTTGATCCTGAGAAGAAGCCATTAAACGCTGAAAATGAAGTGTCTTTAGGAATGGTGGTGACAAACTCTGAGGGTTTTTTTTTTCCCCGCCCTTAATAGTTAATTTTTTTTTTTTTTTGAGGTAAAATAATTCCTTTCTGGGAGTTGTTTTGTGTTAAAGTCTCTAACTTCTAGAGTATTTTTAGAAAGTCATCTTTGGGAAATTATCAGGATTAATTTCATGCTATATCCCCAAAAGATATACCAGTTCTGTCTGATAGAGATACAGTGCAAGCCACAAGTGTACCCACATATATGTAAGTTTAAATTTTCTGGTAGCCTCATTAAAACAGTAAAAAGAAACGGGCACTTGGGTGGCTCAGTCGTTAAACGTCTGCCTTCGGCTCAGGTCATGATCCCAGGGTCCTGGGATCGAGTCCCACATCGGGCTCTATGCTCCGCAGGAAGCCTGCTTCTGCCTCTCTCCCACTGCCCCTGCTTGTGTTCCCTCTCTCGCTGTGCCTCTCTCTGTCAAATAAATAAATAAAATCTTTAAAAAAAAGAACAGGTAAAATTTATTTAAATAATATATTTTATTTAACCCAAATATGTCAATGTAATCAATGTGAACAATTATTAATGAGATATTTTACATTCTTTTTTTCCATACAAAGCCTTTGAAATCTGGTTGTGTATTTTACAATTAAAAATAAAATCTCAATTTGGACTAGCCATATGTCAAATGCTCAGTAGCCCCATGTGGCTAATGGCTACTGTATCGGACAGCACAGATCTGTGTCATTTATTAATCCAGTAGCATAATCTCACATTTAAACTAACTGTGGGAATAGCAGTCTAAATTCAGAGTGATACACAATTTGCTTCAGCTGCAAATTTTGTTTCCAACTTTATCAAAATATTAGAAAAAGAAAAGATTCTGAAGGAGCATCTTTAGGAACTCGGTAGGAGGACTGCTAATCAGCATACCAGTTATAAGTCCTGAACTGTTTTAAATTAATCTGATGTGCTCACCCCAGAGTTGTTTACGATGTAGAAAAGATAAACTTAGAAAACAACTTGCACACAAACTATTTCCTTTGTTATTATGAATTCTAGATTCCCATAAAGTTGGAGCGAACAAAGTTATGCGTAGTATGCCCGGGCCCTTCTCTGGATACCCTCTTCCCATAGCAGTCTACACTCTCCCCATCTTCTCATCCACACCTGCACCCTGGGCCCAGTTTTAGTTTCCACAGCAAACGTATTTGGAAAGAAACAAGACTTAAATGTGTCCTCTTCCTCTTTCTCTAGCCTTCATCTCGGAATTCTGCCTCAGCAACAACCCCTCTGAGTGGAAACTCATCCAGACGAGGGAGCGGAGACACCAGCAGCTTAGTAGATCCAGACACCTCATTAAGTGAATTGCGGGTAAACCGCAGTCTTTGGTTTGCTTTTTAAAAACCGTTTTTTGGCTTCTTTATAGTATAGTATACTGGAACTATTTAACATTTAATGTGACTTAGTAGAAAGAAAAGGAATATGAGGTCTTTAAAAAAAAATTATTAAAGATAGTTCAGGAATGTGACTCAGATCTGAAAGGAAGGAGATTAGTTAATTCTTTTTTCTGTTTTCTTTCCTGAACATTTGATGGTATTGGAATGAGTTCTGCTAATTTACAGATGCCAGAAAAACTTGTTAATGTATGTAAAGTAATTCTTTCAGAAATAATTGGCCATATTTTAAATGGAAAATATGTGGATATACAAGGAACCAGACTCTAGGAATTGTCGGTCTTTTGAGCTATTATGTATTATTTGGCTGCTTGAATATAGTTATCTATCAATTTTTCATGAAAAGTGTAGTAATATTTGGGATAACAGAAATACCTGAGTTGAGTCCCCATTCTTATTAACCTTTTTATTTAAAAAATGAGGACTTTCAAAATGTATTTGAATGTTTATTTGCTGAACCTGCTATTTGTGAGCAATGGGGGAAGGGTAGTAATAAAAATTGCATTCATTCATTCATTCATTCATTCATTCAACATTTATTGAGCCTTTGGCCCCAGAGATTTAGGCCTTGAAACACACCGTGAACTTCAGGAGTTCACTGTTTCATAGGGAAGACAAACTGATAGAAACCAGTAAAACCAGGCCGTGTGATAATAGGTAGTAGCCAGAGTAGGGCTATTAAGGGAATTCAGAGAAGTGTCAGCCACGTTGGACTAAGGTATGAAGGAAGAATACACACGAACCAGGCAAAGTTCAAGGACAAAGCTTTTCTCAGAACTTCAGAGAACCAGAAGGTACTCTGTATAGTACAGTTGCCTAAGGGTAGGATGAGAAGTGAGGAGGAGAGGTGAGTGAGGGGGAAGACCGGGGAAGTAGTTCTGGGCCAGACCACAAAGCCGTCATGTATGGGAGCCTAGAAGGCATTTGGTTTTCTCCTGGCTACTGTGGGATATTAAATAGGGGAGTGAGTATCTGATTTGCATTCTTAAAGAGTGACCCCAGATTGGAGGAAGCACTGGCAGCAAGGGGAACAATACCCACAGTTCAATAGTGAAGTCAAAACTGTGATGGAAGAAGATGCAAGAAATTTGCTCTGAAGAGAATACTGGAGGATACTGGAGTTGATTGGTCAACAGCAGAGAGAGATAGGAGACTAAGAGAAGGTTTTTGTTTTCTTTCAAAGGTGGACTTGATTATTATTTTCATTGCTTGAGAGAGGACAGGAAGGCAAAGGAAGGAGAGGGTGACTGAGGAGCAGAGTGCCTGAGTGGGCGAGAGGAATGCCTAGGGTGCAGATGGAGGGGGGCCAAATGTGGAGGTTCAGTGCTGCTGACACAGGAGGAGGTGGGGACTGGGGTACTGAGTCAGATTGTAAGCGGGTAGGAGCAGGAGTCCGGCTTATGAAGTGGGCAGCCTGTAAAAGTGGGCCAGTGGTTAGAGGGTGGAGAGGTTTGCAGCAGTGACGGTGGCGGTCAAGAAGGAGAGCCGCCCCAGGCCGACATGGCATGACTTTGCGAGTATCAATATTTACCAAGCTCTTACTGAGTACCAGCATAGGTGCCGGGGGTGCAGAGTTGAGTAAGATAAACTCTTGCCTTCAGTGGGACAGAACACGGGAGGGAAAGGCCCTCCAGCCTCACAACTTAGCTCGTGCTTGCGGTTTCCCTGTATTGCTTCTTTAAGAGAATGACTTTCTGAAGGAAGTGAGAGCTTTGTATCCTTATACTCGGCTCCTCGTAGCCTTTCGATATATGTCTGTTGAATGAATCAATGAGCAGAAGACAGACAGACCTACAAAGGAGGGAATGAAGAGGGCAGGGGAAGTATAATACAGAAAGTGTGTGTGACTGGCCTTGGAGAATTGATCCTGTCTGTATTGCAGAATGGTACTCAGGGAAAATAACCGTGGCAGTTATTTTCTCCCTAAATTAAGCGTCTGAATCGATTGTATGTAGCAGGGTCAGGTATAAGGGAAACTGTATTTTCCATTTAAAATTTGACCTGCTTTACTTTAAGGATTATGGTTACATTTGGAGCAGATGCTCTTTTCTCATCATTTAAATGGCATCCTCAGCCTAGACTCTCATTTGACATAATGTTTAAAATGTTGGTGTTTAACTTCCTTCCCTTTACTTTCTTTCTCCCAAATTAATTGTGCTTGGTAAGCAAGTCATTGAAAGACAACGTTGTTCATATCCATTTATTAGTTTTTAAAACTTTTGCATGAGTCAGTAAAATTTGCTGCTTATAATTAATTTACTACATGTTTTACTAGTTCTAGGTGAAGCATTATGTTAAAAATCATTTGAATGATTTATAAAATTTTTAATATTATATGTTAAGCATATTATAATTTATATAGCTTTTTTCCATATACACCCCCCCTTTGCTAATGCTGTTTCAACACATGTTAATGCCAAGAAAATAGTGAATACTTTAGATTGATTACTCCAGACCTTCTCCAGCCCCACTATCCCCCCTGACCTGTTTGCCCTATTCCATGGTTTGGAGTGGCAGTTATGCTTGTGTACTTTGATTTCTTTGCTTTTAGTCTGGAATATACAAAAGTAGTTCATGTTTTCAGCTGAATCTCTGAGACTTAAGATATGTTTATGCATGGTTTTACGCAATGGTTCATTCCTATGTCCTGCAGGATATCTATGACCTTAAGGACCAGATACAGGATGTAGAAGGGAGATACATGCAAGGGCTTAAAGAACTAAAGGTATCAGGGCCCATTCTGCAGCCCAAGCATGCTGTCTGTACACAGAAGTGTTGCGTAATGGTGGTTTCACAAGTTCTGTTAACCCCAGTGCACAGAGCTTTACTAACAGTGTTTGTCTTTCAAGCATGTGCTTAACCTGCAGTGCATAGGAAAGGCAAGCTTTCAGTCTCTGCTTTGTCTAAATGTTTAGTATGGTTTTTGGAATATTCAGTAAAAGATATTACACCTTAAGAGTTCTTAAGTTTGTAAAATAGTTGCATGTCCCTTGTGTCTTAGCCATACAAAATTAAATTGGACAAACTCTTAAAAAGTATTCTGAGAATGAATTTATATATATATATTTAATTAAAAATTAGACCTTAAAATTTTTCCATGCTAAATGAGAGAATATTGCCTATTTCTGTCACCAAATTCAGTCAATATTAAAGGCAGGAGGAAGAAACATCTAAGAGTGCATTATTATAAATATTCCTTTTGGAGGAAGGACCCTGAGATAGAAGGTCTGTGTTTTCGTTTTGTTTCTTCTTCTTCTTTTTTAAACTATAGGTCAAAAAGGATTATACAGATTCAGTGCTTTAAAAAATTTGGAGGTAAATTTAAATGGGCCTAAATCTTTTCTGAGCAAGGATGGCTACCAGTTTTCAATATAAGGGTCCGAGTGAGGCAGACAGTTTGGTTGTCAGTGGCACTTGGTTATCATGCGCTTCCCCATGTTTTATTTTGAAGTTCAAATCTAATATGAGGAAACTAAAAGTTTTCCTGAGCACATGCATGTCCCTGTTTGAAATAAAAAATACACATCAGGCCTCTAAAATCACATAAGTAAGGTATTCAAAAAGGTGATTCAGGATATGCTCGAAGGACAAAGCATAGGCCTAATACGCAAGGCTTTCATCAGCTTTCCTGGCGTGATGTGAAGTAGCCCAGTTACCAGTCAAAACCTTCATGTGGATAATTATTGTCCATAAGGAACTTATGGTTAAGACTCAGGACCAAAAAGGGTAGGGAGTCCTGTGGAGAGTGTCCGGGAGGGAAGTGTGGAGGCCGCTGATATGGCAGCGTGTGAGGCTATCAGTAAACATCAGGAGAATTACAGAGGTAGTATGTGGATGTGCTCAGTTAGTTTTCATGGCTCTAATCTTCAGGATTTAATCCCCTCTTAACGTTTTAGAGATAAGACTTTTGGAAATATCTTGGATCAAGGGAATAAATCCTATATATTAAGTAAGTACACTCATGTTGAAGTGTCTTATATGTATCAGGAAAGCAAGCGATTCAGAGGCATTCTTACTTGTTGCTTTTTATTTTATTTAAAACATTTTTTTCTTATGTTTTAGATCTACCATTTACTACATTCTTTGAAGGATACAAAAGAACAGATTAAATTTATTTGAGACCAAACAGATACAAGATCCCTTTTTTTAAGACAAAAAAGCAAAACTTAATGTTCCTCACATAAATGATACCATGCTAAGAAAAACTGTAAAAAAATACATTAAATATATCCATGTTTAGTGCAACAGAAGCATATCCAGAGTAAAGGAAAAATTACTTTGTGATATACAGTGGTGTACCCTGCTTTATTTTTTTCATTTAGAAGAGATCTATTTTATTTATTTTTATGTTTATTTATTTTATTGGAGTATAACATACGGTGCTATATCAGTTTTAGGTGCACAACATAATGATACAAGAATTCTCTACATTACTCAGTGCTCATCATGATACGTGTATTCTTAATTTCCATCCCCCCCAACACCTCCCTTTTTTTTCCCCACCCCCCCTTTTCATAATTCATGGTCAGCATATAATTGAGCTTGACTTCAGGTTATATTTATACTTGAAATGACTTCTTTAAGTGGAAGAAAATCATTTTAAAAAATGGTCTGATTGGTGATCAAGCGTGGTGGTGTGAACGTGTCCTATTAAAAAAGGATACTGGGTCATTGCTTATGACATTACTCTTGATTAAGTGAGGCAGCCTTTGGGGTGCTTTTCCCTCATTCTAGCCTCCATGCAGAACCACCTGGGTTTTGTTAAATCACAGACTGCTGGACCCTACTCACAGATTTTCTCATTCACTGGGTCTGGAATGGGGTTGAAAATTTGTATGTTTACCCAGTTAATGCTGTTGCTGCTAGTCTAGAATCTACACTTGCAAAATCACTGCCTTAGACACATTTAAGTAAAATTAATTCCTAATAGATACCACTATGTAAGCTAGATTGAAATAATTAAAACTACCTTGACACAAATTTAAAACCGTCTTCCATGGTCTGTTTAAAGGAGAGTACATGCCATAAATGTTACGTCAAATTTATTGTTACTGTATTTTTGCATCTCTTGCTAAACTATCTTAGATTCTGATGTTAATAAAGTTATACTCCATTTTCTATGGGACTGAGCTGTGAGGAAGACTTTTCTTGAATGCTATTAGCCCCTGAGATGGATCAGAATCATTCTAAATTCTGTATTATATTAGGATCCCATTATATTTAAACCATTATACAATTGACTTTGCTTATATTTTTTTATTTGTTTTATATTTGTTCCCATTCCTGGTATAAATGCTGCCTGTTAATACAGCCCTGGTTTATGAAGGGCTTATTGTGTGTATATCCTTATTGAGATATACTTCACACACTGTAAAGTTTACCCATTTAAAGTGTACACAGTTCAAGTGGGTTTTAGCATAGTCACAGAGTTGCACAACCATCACCACAACCCTATTTTAGAATGCTTTCATTACCCCAGAAAGAAACCCTGTGCCAATTAGCAGTCATTCCTCACCCTTCCTCTTCCTCTTACACACCCAGCCTGGGTAACCACTAATCTACTTTGTCTCTGTGGATTTGCCTATTCTGGACATTTCATATAAATGGAATCATATAATATGTAGTCTTTTGTGATTGACCTCAGTTAGTATAATGTTTTGAAGATTCATCCATGTTGTAACTAACTTTCTTTCCTTCCTTCTTTCTTTTTCTTTCTTTCCTTCTTTCTTTTTTTCTTTCTTTCTTTCTTTCTTTCTTTCTTTCTTTCTTTCTTTCTTTCTTTCTTTCTTTCTCTCTTTCTTTTTCTTTCTTTTCTTTCTTTCATTTCCTTCCTTCCTTCCTTCCTTTCTTCCTTCCTTCCTTCCTTCCTTCCTTCCTTCCTTCCTTCCTTCCTTCCTTCCATCTATCCATTCATCCATCTATCCATCCATCCATCCATCTATCACAACTGGTTTATATTGCAGTGTATAGATTTACCACATTTTTGTTTATGTGTCAGTTGATGGACATTTGGGTTGTTTCCAGTTTTGGGCTGTTATGAGTAATGTTGCTATGAACATTTGTGTACAAGTTTTTGTATGGACATACCTTTTCATTTCTCCTAGATACCTAGGAATAGAATCTCTGGGTCATATGGTAACAATATATTTAACACTTTGAGGAATTGTCAAACTGTTCCAAAGCAGCTGCACTATTTTACATTCTCCCTAGCTGTGTGAGGCTTCTAGTTTTTCCACATCCTCACCAACACTTGTTAATCTTGTTTCTGTTTGTTTTTTTTTTTAAATTATAGCCATCATAGTAGGTCTGAAGTGGTATCTCATTGTGGTTTTGATGTGCATTTCCCTAATTACTAATGATGTTGAGCCTGTCTTCATGTGTTTATTGGCCATTTGCATATCCTGTTTGGAGAAATATTTAATCAGATCATCACCCATTTTTAAACTGAATTCTGTGTCTTTTTATTATGGTGTTGTGGGAGTTCTTTATATATTTTGGATACAAGTCCCTAATCAGATACATGATTTACAAATAATCTCTCCCATAGTATGGATTGTCTTTTTTTTTTTTTAATACTTTCTTGATGATACTGTTTGTACCACAGAAGTTTTTAATTTTGATGAAGTCTTTCATTGATACTGCTTTTGGTATTGTATCTAGGAAACCTACTCTGTCTACTCCAAGATCATGAAGATTTAGTGCTATATTTTCTTTGAAGAATTTTATAATTTTAGCTCCTACATTTAGGTCTCTGACCCATTTTGAGTTAATTTTTGTGTACCGTGTGATGTAGGAAGCCAACTTTATTCTTTTGCATGTGGATATCCTGCTGTTCCAACACCATTTGTTGAAAAACTATTCCTTTCCCATTGAGTTGTCTAGGTACCCTTGTCAAAAGTCAATTGATTAGATTTCTGTATCAATTAGGGAGGACGTTAGGTTTGAGGTTGGTGTTGAGGAGAATAACTACCATGACTTCCAGTGCTTTGATGAAACCTCAGATGTGAGGCCTTCTGGCCAAGCGTCTGTGATTTCATATTGTTGGAGAGTTCGCTGTATCCCTGGGGGTTGCAGCTTTCTCTAAGTTTGCTGTGGCCGAACCAAGAAAGAAGGCATATGCAGATTTCTACAGAAATTATGATTCCATGAAAGAGTTTGAGGAGATGAAGAAGGCTGGTATCTTTCAGAGTGCAGAGTGATTCTGGAATGTAAAGAATTTATTTGGGTTGAGTTCCATTGAAGTCTGTCACTGACCTGTGTTCCTGAACTATGAAACACGAATATTGGGTTATGGAATAGTTTGTCTTGATAAATAAACAACTAACAACAACAACAAAAAAAGTCAATTGGTCACAAATGTAAGGGTTCTGGACTATCAATTCTGTATCTTTGATCTTGGTTTGTTGAACATTTACATTAGTATTTTTATTTATTTATTTTTATTTTTATTTTTTTTTAAATATTTTATTTATTTGACAGAGAGAGACACAGCGAGAGAAGGAACACAAGCAGGGGGAGTGGGAGAGGGAGAAGCAGGCTTCCCGCAGAGCAGGGAGCCCGATGTGGGACTCGATCCCAGGACCCTGGGACCACGACCTGAGCCGAAGTCAGACGCTTAACGACTGAGCCACCCAGGCGCCCTACATTAGTATTTTTAAAATTTATTTCTAGAAGTAATGACTTTTCTTATGTGAAATGCTTCTTTTAAGATTTTATTTATTTGAGTTAGAGCGAGAGAGAGAGCACGAGCTGGAGGTAGGGGTAGAGGGAGAGGGAGAAGCAGGCTCCCCACTGAGCATGGAGCCCGACGTGGGGCTTGATCCCAGGACCCTGGGATCACGACCTGAGCTGAAGGCAGACACTTCACCGACTGAGCCACCCAAATGTTTTTTCTTTTTAAAAGCCTTAAAAACTGTTACTAGGTAGTAATAATCTACCAAATTAGATAGTTGTTAAAAAATAGACTTGTAAGCTGTTTTAAGCAGAAAACTTTGAATTATATAAAATTTCAGACATTTTGTTTTTGCTCTTTTTTTGTTGTTGTTACTCTTTTTTTTTTTTTTTTTAGATTTTATTTATTTATTTATTTGAGAGAGAGAATGAGAGACAGCACAAGAGGGAAGAGGGTCAGAGGGAGAAGCAGACCCCCGCCGAGCGGGGAGCCCGATTGCGGGACTCGATCCCGGGACTTCGGGATCATGACCTGAGCCGAAGGCAGTCGCTTAACCAACTGAGCCACCCAGGCGCCCTGTTGTTACTCTTTTTTTAATCATTTTTGTATTGCTTACTATTAAAGAATGACCAGAACTTGAATAATTGCTAGAAAAAAATGTTTATGCCTTTACATTAGCATTATTATACAGAACAAGAAAGTACTGAAAACAGATGTCTGGAAAGTAGCAAAATTCAAATGAGTATTACGTTTACTTGTGTGAAGAGAGGCTGTATTCTGTTCTATCATTGCATTCTGAATACCAAACAGCTTGTTGTTTAAAAACAAGAGTAACATTTCTGAAAACATCTATGCTTCTTCATTTTAGGACTCTTCACAAATATATGTGGTCTGCATACCTTTTTATCTTTCAGAGGCTACATTGCTGCTTGATTTTGTTTCTTGTATAGCAGAGAGCATATAAAGTTCTTATCCTGGCATAATTGGCTTATTACCATCCTTTCATTTCATGTGCATGTTACTAAACCAGGAATTCCCTCAACCGCTTGCATTTTGCAAAAATGCATCTTCATGTGTTTGTGCCAGTGCTGTATTTCCTGTTATATTGAATATAAGCAATGAACGTATTTTAGATATCAGGCTGATGGCTGTGACTTTCATCTAGGAGTCTTTATCCGAAGTGGAAGAAAAATACAAGAAAGCCATGGTTTCCAACGCACAGTTAGACAATGAGAAGAACAATTTGATCTACCAGGTAGACACCCTCAAGGATGTTATTGAAGAACAGGAGGAACAAATGGCAGAATTTTATAGAGAAAATGAAGAAAAATCAAAGGTAATTGTGCATCTTGTGTCATCCCTTTCTCTGGGTCAGAAAATTAGAACCTGCCATTTCGGAGGTGCTGGGCTTGATGGAACAGCGCAGCATACCCGGGTCTGAAGCTGCAGTCGAAACTGATTGGTCCAAGGAAATTGACAAACATGAGATATCAGGTCTTAAGATATTTTCTTTTTTAAATTTTTATAAAATCTATTTAATTTTCTTAAGGAAAATCTTATGACCTCCTTCATTTTCTGAAGATAGAATACAACTCAAGTTTTATCTTTATTTTCTATCTCTTAATGTCTTCTTGTTTTAACTGGCTAGAATGCCACAAAGCTCTGAGGACTTTCAGTGAGACAGTTCATTTTTTCTTTTCTATCATTTTTTAAGATAATCTGTTTTCTAAATGATTGGAGAGAAGTTTTTAACCAGTTCTTTAAAAACAGCAGGATGGAGACATGGGTCAGACGTCAGCAGATGTTTTCTTTAGAGGTTTGTAAGTTATATTGTTAAAATGTGCAGATGGAAAATAAAAGCCACTGTCCAAGGTTCAGATTTGCCCTTTGACAACTGCGGAAAGCAAATTGGCTTCTCTTACTGGATTTGGACTTTTTAAAGTGTTGATGTCAGTCCAAGCAGAGGACAAAAGGTTATTACTGCCAAAAAAATGAGTTGTGACTACATTGCAAAAATAAAAATAAAAAGCCCAGAAAACAATTTAGGACATGTTCACAGTGAATTGTTAGAAACATCAGTAATCTGAAGGGAGAGAAGCTGTTTAATATAACCTCAAAGGAACTGGTATTTTTATTTATTTATTTTTTTTATTTGAGAGAGAGAGAATGAGAGACAGAGAGCATGAGAGGGAGGAGGGTCAGAGGGAGAAGCAGACTCCCTGCCGAGCAGGGAGCCCGATGCGGGACTTGATCCCGGAACTCCAGGATCATGACCTGAGCCGAAGGCAGTTGCTTAACCAGCTGAGCCACCCAGGTGCCCTCAAAGGGACTGGTATTAATACTATACACTCTAATGGGGATTTTTTTCCTTGAGGACTGAAAATGTTCATTCCAGTCTGTTTTGGTCATGTTTAAAATGTGTTCGGAAGTGTTTGTCAAGGGCTTGGGGGAAGGAAGGATGACTAGACAAAATATAGAGGATTTTTGGGGCAGTGATACTATTCTGTATGATACTATACTAGTGGATACATTATTTTTGTCAAAACCCATAGAATATATAACACCAAGAGTGAGCCTTAATGTAAACTATGGACTTTGGGTGATAATGATGTGTCAGTGTGTGCTCAGCACTTGTAACAAATGTACCACTCTGGTGCAGGAGGTTGATAGTAGGTAGGAGAGGCTCTTTGTGTGTGGGCAGGGCTATATGAGAACTCTGTCTTTTCCACTCAACTGCACCAACCTAAAAGTGCTCTAAAAAATAAAGTCTATTAAAAAAAAAGTTAGGATAAGAAGACTTGTGTCTATGTAAGTGAAAAAGAGACCTCCAGATATTTTCATACTGGATGACAGGGCTCATTGAAGACTATGATTTGGTGGCATAGGTGGTTTCCTCTTTGATTCTTCCTGTTTCTCAAGGGCCAATTTCTGAGATTCTGAACTGTCATATTTTATGTAGAGCCCTTGGACTCCTTTTTTGCCTTTCCATGCATTTTTCATGCTGTTTCTGGCTCTTTGTTTCTAGTAGATTAGAAGAAAATCTCATGGTAAGTATTTAATGTTCAGTACTAAAATGAGTTATCATTCCATCTTCTCAAATGCCCTTGAGCATTAAAAAAAAAAACAACAACAACCCGCAAACCTCTATGATTAACTTACTAGGCAACTTAATATTTTTTTCCTTTTGTCTTTTTCTAATATCTAGAGATGTGTTAGTATACATAGAGCTGTGGTTTTTAATTTTTATGTAAAAAAATCCCACCTGTGCTTTTCAAATTAAAAAAATCCCAAGCAGGAGGAGGGACAGAGGGGGAGGGAGAGGGACAAGCAAGAGGCTCTATCTCGGGACCCTGGGATGATGACCTGAGCTAAGTCAAGAGTTGGCTACTCGGGGCGCCTGGGTGGCTCAGTCGTTAAGCGTCTGCCTTCAGCTCAGGTCATGATTCCAGGGTCCTGGGATCGAGCCCCGCATCGGACTCCCTGCTCGGCGGGAGGCCTGCTTCTCCCTCTCCCACTCCCCTTGCTTGTGTTCCCTCTCTCGCTGTCTCTCTCTCTGTCAAATAAATAAATAAAATCTTAAAAAAAAAATAAATAAAATAATAAAAAAAAAAGAGTTGGCTACTCAACTGACTGAGCCACCCAAGTGCCCCTATAGATATTGCCTCATGCAGTAGAATGTTCACGTTCAGAGACCTACAGAGAGGTCAGGCACTCAGGTATGTTTCATTATAGTTCAGAAGGAAAGGGTAGAGAAGGACCATTCAATTATAACAACAATGGTATTAATACAATTTTTCAAAATGTCTTCAGTGCTTCCTGCTGGGATTATAATAACTGTATCTTAAATATTGTCTCTATACCTACTCTGGGGAAGAATGCCTGATTAGGAATGTCTCAAGTATATTATTTCCTTAATAGCTATTTATTTTAGTAGTGGATTCTTTTCCTTTCTTTTTTTTAAAAAAATGTTTTTAAACATTTTATGTTTAAAGTTGTTTTAACATTTTTAAAAAATATTAGAGTTTTTATTTTTTATTTATTTTTTTAAGATTTTATTTATTTATTTGACAGAGAGAGCACACAAGCAGGGGGAGCAGCAGCAGAGGGAGAGGGAGAAGCAGACTCTCCATTGAGCAGAGAGCCTGACACGGGGCTCGATCCCAGGTCTCTGGGATCATGACCTGAGCCGAAGGCAGATGCTTAACCGACTGAGCCATCCAGGTGCCCCTAGAGGTTTTAAAAATACAGAAAATAGCAGACTATTCTGAACCCTCCTAAAGCCCATCATCTACCCCCAGCAACCATCAACCCATGGCCAATTTTGTCGTATTTCCCCCACTCCTGTTCTTTGAGACAAGACCTCAGTAACTCATATATTTTTTAAAGATTTTATTTATTTATTTGAGAGGGTGAGCGAGATAGAGTGAGCATGAGCCGGGAAGGAGCAGAGGGAGAGGGAGAAGCAGACTCCCCGCTGAGCAGGGAGCCCGATGTGGGGCTCGATCCTGGGACTCTGGGATCATGACCTGAGCCAAAGGCAGATGCTTAACCGACTGAGCCACCCAGGTGCCCCTCAGTATCTCATTTTTTTTTTTTTTAAAGATTTTATTTATTTATTTGACAGAGAGAGAGGGAACACAAGCAGGGGAGTGGGAGAGTGAGAAGCAGGCTTCCCGCGGAGCAGGGAGCCCGACATGGGGCCCGATCCCAGGATCCTGAGATCACGACCCGAGCCGAAGGCAGTCGCTCAAGCGACTGAGCCACCCAGGCGCCCCCAGTATCTCATATTTTAATATGAGTTTAGGCATGACTCTCTAAACGAGAGGGACTCCCTCTTTTTTTTATAACCACAAGACCATTCACATCTAAAAAATTAAGAATAATTCCTTCATACTACGTATCCAACCATTGTTAAAATTTTAATTGTCTCAAATGTCCTAAGTGGTTTTCTTTTTTACACTTAAATAAAAAAAAAAAACAAAACCCTGAGGATCCAGATAAGTTCCATAAGTTGGAATTAGTTGTCATGTCTTTAAGTCTCTATTTATAGCTTTCCTTTCATCTCTTTTTTATTTTTTCCTCCCTTGCAATTTGTGTATTGAAGAGACAGGATTGCTTGTCTTAACAGTTTCTGACAGCCTTAGGGATTTTGCTGTTTCATTCCTACGGTGTCTTTAATGTGTTCCCTTTTCCTCTGTATTTTCTGTAAACAGGTAGTCAGGTTTAGAGGCTTAACCAAATACAGGTGTGGCATTTTTGGCACGTCTGCTTCACGGGTTATCTTCTGGCAGGAGGCCCTGATGTATGGCTCTTTCTTTTTATAATGCTGTTGCTAGATGCTTCGATCTGTTAGTGGATTAAGGGTTGCAAAATGGGGTATACTAATTTTATCATTACTGTTTCACATTTCTTGTATTATTTTAAAATGGATTAGAGATAAAATTCACATACCATCTAATTCATCCTTTTAAAAGCGTACAATTCGGGGCTTTTGTATATTCATATTATGTGCAGCCGTCCCAGTTAGTTTTAGAGGACTGTGGTCATGTCAGAAAGAAGCCCTGTACCCTTTAGCTGTCATTGCTCTGTCTCCTGCCTCCTCAGCCCTGAGTAACTCCTCTGCTTTCTGTCTCTATAGATTTCCCCATTCTAAACTTGCAGTCAATAGAGTCATAGAATATGAAGGTGGCTTTTGAGACTGGCTTCTTTATTTAGCTGAACTATTTTTGACATTCATCTGTGTTGTAGTGTGGGTGACTACTTCATTACTTTTTACGGCCTCATACTATCCCATTGCATGGGCATACCACATTTTGTTTGTTCATTTGTGTGTTGATGCACATGCTATGATGAATAATGCTGCTGTAAACATTTGTGTACAAGTCTGTGTGTGGACGTATGTTGTCCTTTCTGTTAAGTGTGTACCTGGGAAGGGAGTTAGTTGCTGGGTCATATGGCAGCTCTATGTTGAACCATTTGAGGAATGCCAGACCATTTTCCACAGTGGCCGCACCATTTCACGTTCCCACCAGTGGTGTATGTGAGTTCTGATTTCACCACAGCCTCACCAACACTTAGTATTGTCTGACTTTTTTTCTTTTTACAGTCTTCCTAGCAGCTGTGGTTTTGATTTGCATTTTCCTGATGACTAATAATTATGAGTATATTTTCATATGCTTCCTTGGAGAAATAGCTATTCAGATCTTTTGCCTATTTTTATTTATTATTATTATTTTTTAAAGATTTTATTTTTTTGAGAGAAAGAGAAGAAAGAGAAAGAGAGAGAGCACAAGCAGGGGGAGGAACAGAGGGAAAGGAAGAAGTAGACTCCCTGCTGAGTAAGGAGCCTGATGCGGGGCTCCATCTCAGGACCCTGGGATCATGATCTGAGCTGAAGGCAGATACTTAACCGACTGAGCCATCCAGGTGCCCCTCTTTTGCCTGTTTTTAAATTGGATTTTTTTATTATTATTATTGAGTTGCAAGAGTTCATATATTCTAGGTACAAGTCCTTTATCAGATACAACTTAAAAAATATTTTAAAATATCATTAAGAATACAAGCATTTGATGATCTGAATTCATTGTAGCTTTTATTCTTTTTGATTTTCAAATTGTTCAACCTTTAACTAATCTGAACATGTTCAGGTTGATTTCCAAATAATTTTGACATGAGTCTAAGTTTTTTGTTTTTTTTTTTAAATAAATTCTGTCTAGCACAAGAAAGTGTTCCAGGCTCATCTGGTATTTCCTGCTCCAGACTTGGAGCTGTTTGTCCAAGGAGCCTTGGTTCTTTTAGTGGGGTGGTGTGGGTGCTGGAGAGCTCTTGCCACCAAGAAGATAACTGTTTATAAAGGCCTTTTTAGTGGAATATCAGGGAAATATTTATGTGGGGTACTTTTTTGTTTTTAAAGTCAAAATATATTATGAATTTATGCTAGTAGTTCTAGTTCATGTTCAGGACTCTGGCATTTTTCCTTACCCTCTCTGTTTTACATATGTGTATCTCCGTGTTCCCACTGCCAGTTCTCAAAGTCACTGGGGGATGATAGTAATTATGTTATATTCTGTTCTCTTTGCTCTATCCCACAGTGCTCAGAATAGCAATACCAGTGTCGCCACAAGTGATATAATTACTGAAAATAGTTAAAAGTTTTTTGTTTTGTTCTGGTTGGCTGTTATTTTGCTGCTATACTATGTATAGTCCAACCATTGTTTTTTAAAAGTTACTCGAAATAGTTTCTCTGTGCTTATGCTGCTAACTGGATGTATAATTTAGGCTCACTGCATTTTATTTTCAATACTTAGGAATTACTTTAAAAATTTTTATCTTTAGATTATTTTTACTTTTAATTGTGATAAAAAGTATAACAAAATTTACCATCTTAACCATTTTAAGGTGTTACAGTTCAGACAGTTCAGTAATATCAAGTATATTCACATTGTTGTGCAATGGGAACTTTTTCATCTTGCAGAACTAAAACTCTGTACTCTTTAAACAACAGCCCTCCCCCTCCCCCAGCTCCTGGCAACCTCCATTCTACTTTCTCTCTCTCTCTCTCTCTCTCTCTCTCTCTCTTTCTCTGAGTTTGGCTCCTCTAGGTATCTCATAAAAGTGAAATCATGCAGTATTTGACTTTTTGTGACTGGCTTCATATAATGCTTTCAAGGCTTATCCATGTTGTATTGTAGCATGTGTCAGAATTTCCTTCCTGAATAATATTCCAGTGTATGTATGTACCACATTTTGTGTATCCATTCATCTGTCTGTGGACACTTGGGTTGCTTCCATCAGGAATTGCTTTTTGAATTTAATTTTGTTTTACAATTACATAAGATATTTACATGTATCTGAAGTGAAATCAACAAAGAGTCAATCTTCTATCTCTGTTCATCCCTATTTCTTTCTTTTTTTATTTTTTATTTTTTATTTTTAAAGATTTTATTTATTTATTTGAGAGAGAGGATGAGAGAGAGCACATGAGAAGGGGGGAGGGTCAGAGGGAGAAGCAGACTCCCTGCCGAGCAGGGAGCCTGATGCGGGACTCGATCCTGGGACTCCAGGATCATGACCTGAGCTGAAGGCAGCCGCCCAACCAACTGAGCCACCCAGGCGCCCTGTTCATCCCTATTTCTTGAGGGGATTTTTTAATTAAATGCTTTATCCTTCCATACTTAAGAAGATAGATATATTTTGCTATTTGAAAAAGTATATACAAATATATGTTTTTTATCCCCGCTTTCTTAGAAAATGGTAGCATACTATAAATACTGCTCCACACCTTGCTCTTTTTATCACCTTATGACTGTGGGTCTTCTTCATTCCTTGGTGTATTACTCCATAGTGATTCCATGGTGCGCATGTACTATAGTTTATTCCACCAGCTCCCTGTTGATGGACATCTGAATTGTTTACAGTCTTTTGCTATTAAAAATAGTCCTGCAAAAATGATGTACTACATAAGTCTTTTTGCATTTTTGCCAGGATAGCCAGGGGATTCATCAGAGTGGGTTTACTGGGTCAAAAGGCATGCTCATTCTGCTGGATACTGCCAGTTTTCCCTTTGTATTAGTTATACCATTTTGGATTCCTACCAGAATGTACGAGAGGGCCTGTTTCCATCCCCATAGTATTTTCCTGAATACGTTGTCAAGTTTTTGGACTTCTACTAGTGTTTAAGTGAGACCATACAGTTTAATTTATTGTTCTCTTAGTATGATCATCTTTTTATATTCAGAGTGATTTCTTTTTCTGTGAACTGTCCATTTCTTTAGACTATTTTTCTATATAGTACTGTTTTTTTCTTTTTAGAGGCTCTATATAGAGAGGCGATAACTTTGTTTCTGATATAAGTTACAATTTTTTTTGTAGTTTATCATTTGTGTTTTTACTTTGCTTGGAGTGCCTTTTGCCATTTAAAAGTTTTTATGTAGTCTAACTTATTACCCATTTCCCTTTCTTGCTGGTGGATTTTTAGGTCATTTTTTAGTAACATTTTTTTCCTACTCTTTGGAATTCACTCATTTTTTTTCTCTAGTAACTATCCTTCTTTCCTTTTCTCTTTTTTTCTCTCTTTTTGCCATACACTTCCAATCCATTTGAAATTTGTTGTGGTGTATAGTGTGAGGTGTGGTTCCAATTTCCTTTTTCCATTTGGATATCCAGTTATTCCAGCCTCACTTACATAAAACTCTATCTTTTCTCATTGATTTGAGATGATCTTTTTGTTTTGTTTTTGCTTAGTACATTTGCACATGTAACTGGGTGTATTTCTGGATTTTCTCTTCTGCTCCTTTCATCTGTATTCAAAAACCCTTACAGGGCGCCTGGGTGGCTCAGTTGGTTGGACGACTGCCTTCGGCTCAGGTCATGATCCTGGAGTCCCAGGATCGAGTCCTGCATTGGGCTCCCTGCTCGGCGGGGAGCCTGCTTCTCCCTCTGACCCTCCCCCCTCTCATGTGCTCTCTGTCTCTCTCATTCTCTCTGTCTCAAATAAATAAATAAAATCTTAAAAAAAAAACAACAAAAAAAACAAAACCCTTACAAACATTGCTTTAATTATATTGACCTTATGTCTAGTGAAGCTAGCTTTCTTCTTTATCAGTATTTTTTTTCTGGCTGTTTTTTCTTATGTTTTTCTTCCAAATAAACTTTATAATCAATTTGTCAAGCTCTGATAAGAAAAAAGCCTCATGGTATTTTTATTTGGACTGCATTAAATGTATAGATTAATTTGGGGGAGAACTGACATTTTTATGATACTAAGTCTTTTTATCCAAGATAGTGTGCCTTTCTATTTGGTCCTACTTCTCTGTCCCTCAGGAATATTTTATATGATTTTCCTCATATTGATTTTGGGTATTTTTTTTAAGTTTACACATGTGTTTTTAAAAATTTTATTTTTTGATACTGTGTTTATTATATTTTCTCTCTAGATTTTAGTTATATTTATGAGGATTATTGGATTTTATATGTTAATTTTATAACCTGTTACTTTATTAAGTCTTCTCATTGTTCTTAGTAATTTTGTCATTGATTAGTCTGGATTTTCTAGCTGTATACTCCTAGGAGATGAAAAATGTAATTTTCTGAACCTTTCCATAGAATACAGAATTTTTCTAAGTTATTATGCATGGAAGTCCAAGTGTGTGTCTGGAGGTCAGTCTTAGCCTCTGAATTATTATACTGTAGATGTGCCAGTTTGTTGTGTGCCGTTATCTGTATAAGCTGTATCATTTGTTTATTAACAGGAGTTAGAAAGGCAGAAACATATGTGTAGTGTGCTACAGCATAAGATGGATGAACTTAAAGAAGGCCTTCGACAGAGAGATGAGCTCATTGAGGTATGTGCATGAACTGTGGAAATACTTAATTTTGAACAAAATGCATTGAATGGGACAAGGGGGGGTTGTGTGTTGGGAGGGAAGGGAGTTAAAATGCCACAGTTCCTTGTCTCTTCATCTTGGCTGTACCCTAAAATTTCACACTCACGAAACATAAAGTTAGGCTTAAAAAGTTAATGCTACCAACCTTATAAACATTCCCCCTTGTAATAGCAAAAGCTTTTGTAATGATCTTTTATTCCTAAGCACATTGTTTCCTAAAGTTATGTTAGGAAATGGGCAAAAGGAAAAATTATGAGTACCATTAGTCTTTGGAATATAGTGAATGCTGTCTGCTGGGACAGCATTCTTGGGGAATAAGACGTTTGCTCTTCATTGAGGTAGATCTATTTCTGAAGCAGCTAAAGGAAAGGAGCTAGGCAAGAAAGACAGCTTCTATACAAAAAGCTGGAGGTTGGCAGGTTGTGCTGGTGGAGGAACCCCTGCGTGCCCCAGTGTTGGCAGCATCCTTAGGAATGTGAAGCAGTGGGGTCCACCAAGAAATCTTTGAAAGCATTTATTGTCCTTTTGTTCCTGCTACCTTGTGAGCATCTCTGTGTTTCTTTAAATGTGGTTTTTCCTCTTGAGGAGGGTTTTCCTTGTGTTTTATAAGTATGCCGGGAAGGGATCCTGCCCACTGGCATGCTGTGGTTATCAAAGTGTCTTATGTTAACTTAATGTTGATGATGGGGGAGAGATTTCAGGAAGGCCAGTTCTTACTGATCCCTGGGAGATGCCTCCCGCACCACACGCACCACACTCATACTCATCCATGTTCCTGTTGCTCAGGACCCACCCCGCCCCCACTTTGTTCCCCTCCCTTCTCCTCTCTTCCCTGCCGCACTTAATCTCTCACCCTGTAAATGACTTAAAAAAAAAATTTACTAGAGGAAAACAAATGACTACTTTTCTATTTGTGGATTTGTGTTAACTTTTCTTCATTCTTGAGAACGATTGAATTGAATGTAGCCTGTAGATTGAGTTTGTGAATGCTAAATGCAGACACAGATAACCCTTGGAAAATACCAGATTACATGTGAAGTTAGTTGTCCTAGTTTTTCCATTTTTGGCATGAAGCATATTATCTAAATTTTGTATCCTCCTGGTATTTAAAAATAATGAGAATTCCTCTCCTTTTTTGTCCTTTTCTGTTTTTTGTGTCTATATGCCAGCCACTTGCTATTTCTTTTTCTAATTAAGATATATACTTTTCCCCACTTTTGATTTCAAAAGAATAATAAAGCTGCTTTGGCAGCTGCTTCTCAGATTCAGTAGTTTAAGTTAGAATTGGTTTAGTGTTTTAGTTTTTAATTTGATGATTGTGCTTAGGAGGAATTGTAATGCTTGATTCCCATAACTTGCCACTGTGGTTTCTTTAAAAGCAGAGGGTGCTACAGTGTGAACTTTAAAGACCTTAGTTTTAGGAGTTTTTATGTTTAGAATTAATGTCTCTTAGATGTTCATACCCATGCGTATGTATAACTGAAAAACCTTGAATATGACAAAATAATGCTTTTTGGTCTTTCATGGTAAAGTAGATAAGAAGTGTGTAAGTAGGAAGTAGGAAATGGTAATTTACCAATAATTCTTAAAAGAAAACCTGTTACATATTCAAGGGTATAAATTGAGCCTCGTTGTTTAAGAATTGCTACATGCTGAATTCTAGTTTTTCTAAAAATCTAGACTAAACTAAAAATATGACTATTCCTTCGAATTCATGATATTCTTGCTGTCATAGGTTCTGCTAACAAATTCAAAATGATTAAGCTGAGATATGTCTTGTATTTTTTAGTTCTGCTTAAGAAAATAAAGTTTAAAACTACGGCTTGTTCTCTGTGATAAGGATCATGTGTTCATGAGAAAATCTGAATTTCCCTCTCTAGAAATGTAAGTTGTTCCATGTTTGGAAAAAAGGCAGTTCTCAGAGGAAGAGCACACACATGGAGCTGCGTGTACACACAAACCCTAACTGGCTTGCTGCCACAGAGCTGTTCTTCCCACTTCCCTTGTGGCAAGCCAGTGGGAGTCCTGTCGCCAAGACACTGGACGTCATCTTTCCCTTTAGCAAGCAACTCTTTGCCTGTTGAGCACAGACTTTCTTTCTCCCTTTGTTAAGTTTCTTTATCAGCTTTATTTTTTGTTCTCTTTTCTTCCCTCTGACCCCCTCCGTTTTTTCTTTCTGCTCTTTTATTACTTCTCTTCCCACTTCCTCTGCAGGAGAATCAGCGAATGCAGCAGAAAATAGACACCGTGACAAAAGAGGTGTTTGACCTCCAGGAGACACTTCTTTGGAAAGATAAAAACATTAGGGTATGAAATGAAATTGGGCTTTGGTCTGAAGCTCATTGATGAGGAATAGACCAATATAATCTAATTTAGAGATTCCTAAAAATCTGTCCTTTTGGTTATTTTTGAGCATTTATACACTGAAATGGGAATAAGGAGAAGACAGAAAAAAACTTCCAGGGGAAAACTTGATACTGTGCCTGGAAAGAACTCTTCTTGCTAGCAGGACTCTGGGCTTTGTGAAACCTACAAAGTAGGAACTTTCTAGGGAAGCTTATTTCCCCAGGATTCTCATCCAGAAGCAGCCACAGGCATTTAATTCAAACTCTGTGGGTAACTTGATAACCTTACATTGCAAGAATTTTGGATGAGAAGCAAGAGAACAGTGAGTGGGGGGTGGAGGACAAGTAATTAGCATCCCATAAATCCTTGGTGAATAAAATAGGAAGAGATTAACATCAATTTAGTTACGGACGTGGATAGGAATGTAAGATTTGCCAGAGTTGCCAAACCATGACGTCATCTCTAATTATAACCCCATGACTCCCCAAAGCGGGGGCCCAGATAAGGAAAGTCTTCAGTGCTTTTTTCGCTAAACCCTTTAGGTAGATTCCAAGTGCACAGGAGGCTGGAAAAATTCCCACCAGTTATCCTGTGTCACCCTTTGACATGCGCCCCATCTCACGCTGTGAGCTCTGTTCCCTGTCCTGCACTGGGGGTGCCACGCAGCCATAGCTGCCAGAGGCTTACCTTGTCTGGGAAGGGCTATGGCGGAGGAGGCAGAGAGAAGGAAGGAAGCCCTTGTCCTGAGAACATAGAAAGTTTTGTTCTGCTTGAGGTTAGGTGGCCTAGGGAAAAGTCGGCAAAGATCCCCAAGAACACCTGTGATAGACATGCCTGGATGAGCAGTCTTCTGGGTCATACCCTTCATTGTTGGGGGGAGGGGTTCTCGTATCCAGTTCTTTTCATACATCCAAGGACATACCCTCTTTTTTTTTTTTTAAGATTTTATTTATTTATTTGAGAGAGCAAGAGTGCACCAGCTGGGGGGCGGGGCAAAGGAGAGGGAGAAGCAGACTCCCCGCTGAGCAGGGACCCTACTTGCTGGATCCCAGGACCCCGAGATCATGACCTGAGCAGAAGGCAGGACACTTAATTGACTGAGCCACCCAGGTACCGCCCCCCATCCTCTTATTAATAAACACATGGGAAACAAAATTACTTCTTAAGAGCTTTTAATATTTAAATACTGAGTTTCTAAAATTCCACCCAAAGCTGGAAGAGCCTTCTGGAATATAACCACTGTTAAGAGTTTTGAAATTTTGATTGTGAACTACTGATCTTATTTACATTTTTACTTGGGGAATTTTAAATGAGATGTGAAAAAATGTACGGCACAAAGTAGGTAATTTGTAAAGGCTAAAGTCTGGTCACTATCTAGAATGGTCTTCTTTTAGGACCTTAACATAATTTTCTTTCACACAGATCTGTAGGTCCATGATTTCTATTTTGTATAATTATCTTAGTATTTAAACCGATTATTTTGGATCAGCCGTAGGAAAACCCCAAACCACTCAGTCCAATAAAACAGCTATTCAAAATAAAACAAAAATTTATTTTCTACCAAAAAGATGTGCTCATAGTTAAGACAAGTTATTTGACTTTTAAATATTCATGGCATTGTTGAATGAATAAGTGGCTATCTTCTTTCTGTATGGTATATAATAATGTGTTCCTTTGGCTTTTTTAAAAAATTAAACTTAAGAAAACTTTTTTTGAGGTAATTGTAGATTCACATGCAATTGCAAGAAGTAATACCGAGAGGTCCTGTATGCCCTTTATCCAGTCTTCCCCAAATGGAACACCTTGCAAAAACTATGGTACAGTATCACTGCCAGGATATTGACCTTGCTATAGGCAAAATACAGAACATTTTCACTACCACAAAGGATGTCTCCTGTTGCCCTTCTATGGCCTCATCTGCTACCCTCCCTACTCCTCCCCAAGCCCTGGCAACCACTAATCTGTTCTCATTTCTGTAATTTTGCCATTATAAGACCATTATATAAATGGAATTAAAAAGTATTTAACCCTTTGGGGTTATGTTTTTCACTCAGCATGATTCCCTTGAGATTTATCCAAGTTGCGTGTATCAATAGTTGGTCCCTCCTTTGACTTTTAGGAAACCCTCTAAATCGTGGTAAAATACAAATAACGTCAAGTTTACCACTTTAACCATTTTTCAGTGTAGAGTTTGGTGGTATTAAGTACATTCACACTGTTGTGCTACCGTCACCACCATCCACCTCCAGAGCTCTTTCATCTTGCAGAACCGAAACTGTGCCCATGAAACAGCTCCCCACGTCCTCCTCCCTGTAGTCCCTGGCAGCCACCATTCTACTTTCTGTCTCTCTGGATTTACTATTCTAGGTACCTCATATAAGTAGAATCCTAGAGTCCTTGTCTTTTTGTGACTGGCTTATTTCACTTATCATAATGTCCTCAAGGTTTAACTGTGGTCGGGCATGTGTCAGAACGTCCTTCCTTTTAAGGCCAAAGGATAGTTCGTTGTACGTATGTACCACATTTTGTTTATCCATACATCGGTTGGTCAACAGGCACTGGGTTTGCTTCCACCTTTTGGCTATTGTGGATAATGCTGCTGTGCACATGAGTTTGCAAGTACCCTTCTGTGGCCCTGCTTTCATTTCTTTGGGTTGATACCCAGGGGTGGAATTGCTGCATAATATGGTAGTGGTATGTTGAAGTTTTTTGAGGAATAGCCTGACTGTCTTCCACAGCAGCGGTACCATTTTCCATTCTCATCAGCACTGCACAAGGGTTCCATGACCAGCACTTGTTTCCGGTTTTTCTGATAGCCATCCTAGTGTGGTCCTCCCATGACTCGCACAAGACACATTTTCACTTTAGTCAGTGACTACCTCACGTATCCTTTGTCTCTAGTTTCATTTTCAAGATTTAAAGTTAGTAACTTAATAAAGGCACCTGACCTTTATTCTCATGTTAGAGTTTGGTTTTCTTTGGCTCTCCTTCATCGATCCTTGTGGTCATGCTTGTAGCCCTAAAGCAGTTCCAAGTGCCAGGTGGCTACACGTGGAATAAGCACATACAAAGGACTGGTGTATCTGGATAGCCCCATGTGAGACTCCATCCCATTCTGACTAAAGAGATTTATGGCCCATGGAATTATATGGAGAAATAACCTTTTGCCCCCCGAGTTCAACCTGTTACACATATCTTTCAGGCTTCTTGACACTAGAATTTGAGGTTAGGTCAGGGGCAAAGAATTATTTAGATCTCCACAAGCATGTAGTTTTTATTCTAAGCAGGGGAAAAAAATCTCTAAGAGCTATTACTGAATGCAAACACAGGGTAGCGGTTTTATGGTCAGGTGCTACAGAGGGTTTCAGATCCGGCGTGACTACATTTGCTCCAATTATAAGGTATTTCAGTAGCCTCCAAACTTTGTGGTGAAATGGGAGAACTTATAGGATGTATTTTATTTTCCCGTCCATAATTATGGGAAGATGAAGTTAAAAAGTCCAAAAGCAAAGATAAAACCCATTGCTATAAGATGTAGGAAGAAGAGCAAATGGCATTTTCTAGCATTTGCTAGAATTTCTAGTTTCAAATTGGTCTGTTCCTAAGAGATCTTGTGTACTTAGCGGTGGTGTTTATGTAGAGCATGTGGCGGTGATCACTGACCCTGTCATACGTGGTGATGCATGGTGTAACTATGCACGCAGATGCCGATAACCCACAGATATCTAACCCCACAGAGGTTAAAGTGTCTGTCAACAGATGGGAAAATACTGCTTGTGCTTTTTTTGTCCTGATGTTAACATTTGTTATTAATGTAATGGAGTAGTAATAGTAGCTTGAAGTGTTAGGGTGGTAAATGCCTCGTGATGCTAGAAACTGAAATGATTAATACAAAGGCAGACTCAAGACATGCCATATGGTGTGAATGTAAATTGCTGGAAGGAAATTAGATATTGGTGTTGCAGTTTGGGTAAGTATGGGGTAGGGCTACTTATTGACTACTTTTCCAGCAGCATCTGGGATGACAGTAAGGAAACATAATTGTGGTCTTCTTGGGGCTGTGATATAGAAAAAGTATGCAAAGGCTTTGAAACCAAAAAGAACTGGATTCACTTTCTGGCTTTGGCACTTCGACTTCAGGCAAAAAAAATTATATATATATATATATATATAAAACCTCTGAGCTTCAATTTTCTGATCTGTGAAATGGGGATAAGACAAGTGCAGGATATATAAGGGAGAAATTATATATATATAAATATATTAGGGCAAAATTATATGTCTTTGTAGCGTGCCTGCTGTATAGTTCGAGCCACACGGTTGGTGGTCGCTAGCGTCCCTTATCGCCAGTTTGGGTGCACAGTAAGATTAGAATGATTTAGAACATTGTCCAACTACTCAGCAGTCAGTAATGAAGCAGTTGGCTCATTTCTAACCCCATAAACTGAGAGGAAAGTTACCTGTTGTAGTTAAACTTCTTGGCCTACTGGGGCTGCTGGGAGAAAATATGAAATATAGGAACACTTGTGTAGAGAAAGGCTTTTTCAGAATAGTCCAGCCGTCAGGTGTCCGCATAGACTGCTTGCCTGGGGTATGTTTTGAATTCTGGGTTATTTCATTACATAGAACAGATCTGATTTGTCACTGATGACCCAGGCGTGTGCCTGCATCTGCCCCGTTGGCCTCAGCTCTGACAGTTGTGATTCAGGCGGGGAGGGGGTGGGGGTGGGGGGGACTGGTGATCCAAGTGGAAAGAAAGTGGTAGGCTTTTCCTGAGCCTTCCTGGGACTCGCACGGCAGCAGTGCTTATGCTGTGTACGTGGGGTGGTACTACTGTTGTCCCTTCTGTCTTTCAGATGAGAAATCTGAGGCTTAGGTAAGTTAGTACGTGCCGGGACTCAAAAGCCTGACCCCCAAACACATATTCTGCCGCACTCCATAGGTGGGCTGTATTTATTTTGTCAGTGTTTTATTTTCCTTTTTCCCACTTAGAGAGGTGTATCAGAAACCAGATTCTTAATTGTATTTAACTAAATTAACGAAACACAGGTCCTTGGGAATCCCTTTGGAGATTAGCTATTTTGAATTAAGTGGTATTTGAGGAATATTTTGCCACACTGCTTGGAGAACACTCACTATAGCCAATATTTAATTAAAATACCTTGTGCATACTGGTTATTTTTTCTTCCAGGGCCATTAAAATTTTTTTAACTAAAAAATTTTAAAATTAGTTTTCTTAAAAAATTTCACTGTATTCTTGAGTGAACAATTTTAGTTAAACATGAAATGTATTTGTTTGCTTGTTTGGGTCACCGTATGAAAATGTAGTAAGGTCAGTAAGGAAAACTTTAATACAACTGCTGTCTTCATCTTCCTTTTCCTGTTTTTTTTTTTCATCAACTGGAAAAGAAAGATCAGTTCTCCAGCCTGATGTGATAAGCATGTTTTGGCGAATTGATGCACGATTAATCAGTTTCTGTTAAAACTCTCCTGTGGAGATGTGTGTCCATATGACTTTGTACTTCTTCCCATATCTAACTGCCGGTTTCCAAGCTTTTACCGCTCCCTTGTCTTTTATGCCTTTATCTTTGTTTATTTGAAGTAGGTGCTCTCTGCTACCTCTTTCACTTGCTCTTTTTCTGTGCCATTCTTTCCCTTGCTACCCTGTCTAAAACCAGGCCCTAGAGAAACAGAAAGAATACATTGCCTGCCTTAGGAATGAGCGAGATACGCTTAGAGAGGAGCTGGCTGACCTGAAGGAGACAGTGAAGACAGGAGAGGTACGTTAGCTTTAGCCTGGAGTTCCAAGTCCCTCACTGCTTTAGTCTTCCTTCCTTTCATCCTGTTATTTTTCTCAGCCCAAAGACAAACCAGTGTTCATTCTTCAATGCAGATTTGGTAGGTTTCAGTCATTTCTTCTACGGACCTATATTCCATGTAACTAGTTCTAACCTGGTGTTATCTGTGGCAAACATATTGTCACAGTCACCTCACAGAGCATACTGCCATGTGGGCCATGTTTTGTGATGGTGGGTTTTCTCCTTCTCCACAGAAACATGGCTTAGTTATAATCCCCGATGGCACTCCCAATGGTGATGTCAGTCATGAACCAGTGGTTGGAGCCATCACCGTGGTGTCTCAGGAGGCTGCTCAGGTCTTGGAGTCTGCAGGAGAAGGTCCACTAGGTAGGACACAGTTGCTGCTCTCTTGGCTTGGGTTTACTGTTCTGCTAGACTTCCGGCTTACTCATAGCCCATCTTGGAAAACAAAACAACACAGGGCTATCTGAGGTTTAACTGAATTCTTCACGGGAAGAAATCTGGGCACAGTGTCTTTAGGCACCCTTGAACTTGGGAAACCAGCATCTGGGTCACTGTAAGGCCTCTGGATGGAAGCATGTTGGTGTATACACATTGCTTTTTTACTTAAATACAAACCTTCCTGGAAGAGATAATCCAGCGTATGTGTCCCAAGGAACCGGTGGGCTGGTAGGGGACTTCCCCAGGTATGTTTTAAGTTTCTGCTTCCTGGAGAATCTGGTTTTATGCTCTGCTACTTATCCCGGGGTCCTGTAGCTCTTTGCAACCGCATTTCTTAAGGCAAGAAACAGGTGACCAAGAAGTCAGATCTTAGAAGAGTGTTCTTTTTAGAGCAGGGCTTCTGAGCCTCTTAACATCTAAGCCTCTTAAATTTAAGCCTTTGAGACTTTAATAACACCTCTCCCAGGAAACCACACAGATGCCCATCCATTGGCTCCACGAAGAATTCTGTTCTAGAGGAAGGAAAACACAGATACTCTAACACCAGCTCACTTTTTTTTCTTTTGTTTTCATATATGTGTAGGTTTCCTAGAGGAGTGGGACTTTTTCAGAGTTAGTAAACACATTCTCCAATGCACAGAATTGCAGAAACAGAGCACTTTGATATAGCAGAGGATGCGGGCTAGGCAATGGGAGCCGCTCGAGAGAATGCACTGAGTGTGTGGCTGGGGGCAGCCCAGGGCTTCCCCTGCTTGCTTGGAAGGTACTGGGGAAGCCAGCACTTAACATTTGGCCGTTACCCTAGTTGGTTGTGGGAGGCGCTGGCTCGGAGTCGCCTGCTGCTTGTACTCATCTGTGGTCCCCCTCACCCGGAGGGGCTTGTGTTAATGGCATGCTTGGGAAGCAGCGGCCCTCCCCCCAGGCCAGGAGCAAGCCCTGGCAATCCTGCAGCAGGCCTCAGATTAGCCCTTGACTGCCTGCACCTCCGAGTTGGGCCCCCGCTCGCCTGTGTAGGCCTTTGCCTCTTCCGTGTTGTGTTCTCATTTTCCCTGTTCCACCCTCCCCACCCAGGCCCCCTGGTACCCCGTCTGTCTTCTCTCCCAGATTTTGTTTGCTCCTGTGAGACTTAAATCTGTGGGAGCACCCCAACATTCTAGTTGTCTGTCTGCTGGTGAAAGCTTGCACATTTTTTTTTTTAAAGATTTTATTTATTTTTCGACAGACAGCGAGAGAGGGAACACAAGCAGGGGGAGTGGGAGAGGGAGAAGCAGGCTTCCCGCCGAGCAGGGAGCCCGACGCGGGGCTCGATCCCAGGACCCTGGGATCATGACCTGAGCCGAAGGCAGATGCTTAACGACTGAGCCATCCAGGCACCCGCTTGCACATTTTTGAAATAAGGAAGTGATCTTTGTACTTTGTTTTGTCTTTCAGTGGAAAATCACTACCCTTGGGAGCAAATGTTGTATTTAGTGCCTTGATAGCTATCTGTTGTGTGGAAATATGTGTTGAATAATTAAGTACTTTTCCTTAGCACCTTTAACTTAAGCCTTCATTTCTTTTGATATTGAAAGCTGTAAGTTGTCAGATAATGTATGGTGTTTTTGAATTTCAAGAATCATTTTTAATTGTTTTGGTATTATATCCTCACAAATTGAGTTTACAACCTTTTCCATTTGTTTTAGATGTCAGGCTACGAAAACTTGCTGAAGAAAAGGAAGAGCTACTATCACAGGTAAAGGCATTCTTCTCACTGGAAGGTAATGTTAATTTAATGGACTAAATAAATCACATGGCAAAACATTAGCGAATTAAAATATACACAAGAAAGAAACATGCTTATTTCAAACATCAGTACTCAAGATTTGAAGGACAGAAAGATAAATTCATATTTTGCCTCTTTGTTGTTTCCTGTTCTTTAAAAAAAAATGTATCAGACCTGGAGTTTAAGGAGTTAAATAGTGGTACGAAGCTTGTTGTCAAGACAGGAGTTCCGTGCTCTGCCTCCTCACGTTTACCCCTGTCCATTCCGATTGGTTTAGCACATTCTCTCCATGTGTCCTGTTCTTGTGTATTTCTGTCCCACACGCTCACGTTGCTTCTTGATGGTTCTGTTTGGGGCACTGTTGACATCCCTCTGTGGAAGATGACCATCTAGCCTTCTGTCCCCAGCACGCACACCCTTCCCATCCCCTGTCCTCCTGGTGAAGGCCCGGCGCACCTCCCGTCTGCGCGTGTTCTCAGGACTTGTGAGTGCCACTTGCCGTGGAGCCCCACAACATTGCAGGGCCACCTTCCCTCCTCTTCACAGCTCTAGCTCCCCCAGAGTTAATCCTGTGGCTTTTCTTTTCCTCTGCTTGGTTTCCTGTGTATTTATTACCAGTGTAGCTGCCGCGTCTGCAACGGTAGTAAATCTGCTCTTAGCGTTTTCAGATGCACCAAGCATGCTCTCAGTTCCACTTGCTGAGTTCTTGGAGCATCCGACCTGGCCCACTGGGAACATCACGGCCCGCTCTGTCTGCGCCCAGCCGGCCTGCCCTTCGCTGCTACCTAGGCTTTCCTCTGTCTGTGGTTCAGGTTGGATTCCCTTTTTGCAGTGCCTTAGGCCTTCCTCCTTTTTTATTTGTTCTCTTTTTGGTACATCCCCCAGTAACTTCCTGAGAAAAGGGTATATAGGCTGTAAATTTTTCTTAACTTTGGAGGCCTGAAAATGGCTTCATTTTACCCTATTACTTGATTAACAGTTTGGATATAGAATTCTACACTGCAATCATTTTCCTTTTTTTTTTTTTTTTTAGGAAATTGCTTCATTGTCTCTGGCTTCCAGTATGGAAGCTAGCACATTGAGGATTTCAAGGGCATTCTGATTTTTCATCTTTTGTCTGTGACTCTTTTCCCTCTCTGGCGGCTTATATCATACTTTCTCCTTCCTATTTGGAAGTTTCACAGTGATGTGGTTTGGGCCCCTGTCAATTCTAGGAATTCCTATCGTTCAATCCTGGGAAAATTTCTTGACTGGTTTTCCCCCTTCCCATATTCTGTTATCTCTTTTTGAAACTCCTATTCAGTCATGCGAACGTGAATGAGATTCCACTCTTCAACAGGCTCTATTCCAGGCATTTGGCATATTTCTGTGAACAAATCAGTTAAATAATCCCTGCCACTAGTAGACCTTACATTCTAGTGGGAGGAGACCAGACAATAAACAAGAGACGGAATGAATATGTAAGTTATATGGTATGTTCGAGGTCTGTGTGACCGCACTTACTGTACATTGAGCGGCCATAGGTGCAGGCGTGGGTGGGTGGAGTGGGATTTTACCCGGGAGTGTAATTGGGCAGAGGAGGTGAAGGCATGTGGAGGACAGTATTGATAATGATGACTGCAGAGATGAAGTGGGTAATGAGGCTAATGGGTAATCCAGGAAGATGTCAAGGCCCAGTGGAAAGGAGATGAGAAATAGAAGTGGGATTGAAAGACTGGGATTTGGGTTCCTGAGAGAGGGAGCTGGAAAGACCAGGAGTAGAGGTTAGAGAGCAGATAATGGGACTGACTCATGCAGGGACTGCATTTAATCGAGTGCGAGATCCAGTATGTGACTATGGGAGAGTAATGAGGGCAAGAAGGGAGAGACGTCAAGATCCTTGGAGAGGAGGTGTTTTGGAAACTGCCATCGGTTGTAGGAGAAATCATCTACCTAGATGAATCTTGAAATTGCTCAGGCTATACTTGAGGGAGCACAAGTCAGGAGGTAAATGGTGAAGGTGTGGGGCAATGGCAGGGATGAGGGGTGGTTGGTATGTGGAATTGGGAGGGGAGGAGGTCAGGAAGCAGGAATTTTAGGGAGCATCGAGGGAGAATATTTGGGCAGCAGCACAAAAACAGGTCATGTGTTGTGTTCTCAGGCTCAGTGGTAGGAGGGTTCTGGGAGAGATCACCAGAAGGTCAGAGGGCTGCAAAGGGAACAGGCTTCTCAGGGGGGAATGGGTTTCTGCTAATGCACTAGGTAAAGGGACCACTTAAGAGAAGAAACTGAGGATGAGGGGAAATAGTAATCCAGAGTTTCAGGCATTGGGAAGGGTTAGGAGGTGCAGATGGGGGCGACGGCTGTACAGAGCCCTTCGGGGAAGAGTGTAGGAGGATGACTGTTTCTGAGATGGACATGATGATGGGGATAATGAAAACTCAAGGCAGATGTTGAAAGGGTAGAGGTGTCTGGGAAGCATGGGTTTCCTCCCAGTGCAGAGCTCGCCCTTTCCCCACTGGGGATGTGGCCCACTTGGTCCTAGTGCCCAGGCTTTCCCTTGACCACTGTTGATGGGGTCCCAGCTAGGGAAGCCCCCTTAACTCTGAGCATCACACTCACCTTTGACCCTCGATGATGAAAGGTGAAGGAGGCCTGGGGAGGTTCGGTCTTGGTCCCAGAGGCAGCTCCCCGCTGTAGTTCTGAGCTGTAGTGCTCCCCAGATCTCTGCTGATAAAAGAGTTGTAGGCATTCGGGGAAACATGGCTCTGATTCCTGAAGGAAGGGGCAGTAGACCTCTGGGATCAGCGCTTTAACTTTTTTGTTTCTCTCCTGTTTGTCCATCCCTTTTGATCTCTTGCTCTACTTTTAAATGATTTTCTCAACTCTGTCTTTGAATACTTCCATTGGGTTTGTGTTTCTGTAGTCATTTCCAGGATATAGATATTTTCACTTACCTCAGAGCATACTGATAGTTCGTCACTGTTCTCTGCTGTTTCCTTCCACATGCATAGTTTATTTCCTAACTGATGCTCTTGTATGTGTATTTGTTTGGCCCTACGTTTCAGGGCGGGATGGGGAGTACTAAAACGCTGATAGGCAGCTCTGAGCATGGGTAAGGCTGATGGGGCTGGGTGTTTTGTTGGGAAATTTTGGCGTGGATATGTTGGTCTTTACGTTAGACTAGGCACACAGTTCTACAGGGAGACATCCCCCAGTCCTCTCATGCAGAGAGCAGTCTTGCTGGCAGCATTCTGGGGACTGAGGCTGGACTGGGGGCCTCAGCGTCAGTACACGTCTATTCATCTGCTCTTGTTCTCCGTGTGTGCGGGGCTCCTGTCTCCATTGGGCCTTGTCTTTTCCCAACCCTGAGTCCCTTTGCATTTGATTCATTTTTAGTTTCTTCAGTTTGCAAATGAAAAAACCCCCACAGCTTTATTAAGGTATAACTGATGTAGAATAAGCTGTTTGTACATAAAATGTACAAATAAATGCACCTACCATATTAGTTTCTGAGGGCTGCCCTAACAAAGTACCACAAACTGGGTGGCTTAGAGGAACAGAAGTTTCCTGTCTGCACAGTTTTGGAGATTAGCAAATGCCCAAGGTCGGGTGGCAGCAGTGTTAGTCCCCCTGAGGCCTGTGAAGGGAAATCTGTCCCACACTTCTCTTCTGGCTCCTGGTGCTTTGCTGGCGGTCTGTGGCATTCCTTGACTTGTGAGTAGCATTCTGTGTGTCTTCACATCATTTTCCTCTGTGCGTGTCTTTCTCTCTTCATCTGGCATTTTTTCAGAAGGACACCAGTCATGTTGGATTAGGGGCCCACCCTATTCCAGCATGATCTCATCTCAGCTTAACTAAATGCATCTTCAGTGACTCCGTTTCCAAATAAGTTCACATCCTGAGGTACTGGGAGTTAGAACTTCAACATATGAGTTTTGTAAGGACACATCTCAACCCATAACAATACTCATGAAACCATGACCACAGTCAGAACGGTGAAAATATTCATAACCCCTCCAAAGTCTCGGTGTCCTTGAGTGTCCCTTCCTTCCTGAGCCTCCCTCTCCCCCTGCACCTCCAGGCAGCCACTGATCTGCTTTCTGTCACTATGGATTAGTTTCCATTTTGTGGAGTTTTATGTAATTGGAATGATATAGTACGTCCTCTTCTTCTGTCTGGCATCTTCTACACAGCTTGCTTATTTTGAGACTCAGCCGTGTTGCACGTATCAGTAGTGCTTTCCCCTTTCTTGCTGGGTAGTAATTCCACTGTGTAGATGTGCCATAGTTTGTTTGTCCTCCTGTTGGTAGACATTTGGATTATTTCCAGTTTGGAGCTATTATGAATAAGCTACTATAAACATCCTTTATTTTGGGTAAAATAAGGTAGATCAACTGTGTAGCCAAACTCAAAAATATATTTCCAATTATTTCTGCATACAAAAGGCTTTTCTAAGTATTTAACCTAATATTTAGGTGTTAATATTTAATACTTAATTTACTATTTTCATTAAATTTACTTAATATTTAATTGACTTCAAGTTTTAAAATATTTAAGTTTCCTAAATATTTAACCTACAGTATTTACCCTAATTCTAAGACAAAAGAATTTTATTAAAAATGGAATTTTAATAAAAGTAGTGAAAAACCCTGACAAGATCTGCCATTCCACCAGCCTACACAAATCATAAAATAGGGCTGCTTTGATTGGGACACCTGGTCCTGGAGCTTCACTCCTTCTGATGTTCCCAGTTTGTCGCCAGCATGTCGGCAGTGTGGCCCCGTGGTAGGCACGCAAGTTCTGGGCGGATGACTTGTGGGGCTGAGGACCCACCGTGTCCTATGGATCTCATGACGGCCCTCTCCTTCCACTTCAGATCCGGAGGCTGAAGCTGCAGCTGGAGGAGGAGCGGCAGAAGTGCTCCCGGAGCGAGGGCTCGGCGGCTGACACGGCGGGGCTGCACAACGGCTCCGACCTGCAGTTCATCGAGATGCAGAGTAGGTACCGCAGCCAGGCCAGGGCCGCTCTGTGGGGAGGCTGTGTTCCAGGAGCGCGACTGCAGGCACGCCGCCGGTCTTGATGCGCATTTCTCTCTGGGAGCCAGGTTACAGAGATTGCTTAGTCCTCAGCGAGCCCAGAAAGTAGTCCCGATCAGTGGTGCAGCCAAGTAGAGGCTTCTAGTAGCCTCTGCACTTCAGGGAATGGATTACAAGAGGACCGGGTTAATGCAGTGATTTCTAGACATTTTGGAAACAGTGTCCTGGCACTGTCCTCTTCCACACCTGGGTCAACTGTCAGCTCCCATATAGCACCCTTCTTAACGACATTTTTCTTGTGGAATCTATCTTGGATAGTGAACGGATATATTTGGAACTAACTCACACTAATGCTGAGTAGTTTCAGAACTTTGCCAGAAGTTTTATTAACCAAATTAATCTTTATAAGCTGGAATTTAAAACAAGGCCAGAAAGTAAGCCTATTCATGCAGTTTTTCTCCCTTTCTGTTTTTGACCCCACGTTGTTTTAAAATGCCTGCTGTGTTTACAGTAATCTCCATGGTGGGGGGAGGTCAGCAGCCATTCATATATAGTTAGATAACGTATCGTTTGTGGAGAGGGGAGACTTACTTTTTATTCAGTTTGAATTGTGGCTTTTCTGATAACTTATTTTGAAATATCGGTTATTTCCTGGCTTTTTCATCTAAATATTTTTGCATTAGGCTAAATAGAAAAGGCTTCTTGGATTAAGGCTTATTGATACTATTAATACTGGCTTTTCAGGTTAGTGTCATGTCCTTTATTAGAGATCATTTGGGACCCTCGTGACACTTCCTGTTGAATATTTTATTCTAGAAATACTTTGGTGTGGAGGATAGATGAAGATGGGTACGAGAGGCAGACTGACTAGCTGGGAGGCTGTGATGATCAGCTGGACCAGTACAATGGCTGCCAACAGTCTTAGAGAGAGGGCAGGGGGTAGATTGGCCTAAAGCAGCAAAATCCAAAGGAGTCACACTGAGGGAGAATGGGCATGTCTTAAGTGTGACTGCTCCTAGGGCAGGTGGGCGTTATGGAGCTGGTATCTGGGAAGGACCCAGAGTGACTGTAGAATGAGGTGGGCTCAGGGGGACCCAATAGACGGGCCTGGCCGGCAAAGGAAGCCCAGGGATATACGCATGGTGTGATTGAATGGAATTTCATGGCCAGCACGAAATGGCAAAGATGAAGGACTTACACTCTTGAAAACAGGAAGGAAAGGGAGGTTTGCCATGAGAAGGAAGCAGCACATTGTGATAATTAATAAGTGGCTGGGATGAAGAATTAACCAGATCCTGAAGCTTGTGTTTTAGAGCCCAGCAGTAGGAACTCTTGTCTCTCTCTGCCAGAGGGGCTTTTGGGGTGAGAGTTTTATAGCCCCATTACTTTTCAGGTGACAGTAACTACCCGTGAGAAGAACCTCTCCCTCAAAATTATATAAGTAGTTGTAACCTCAGTGATGTGGAAAAGCAGAAAAGTTCTTAAGTTAGATAGCTTAGATTTGGTTTATCTCCTTTAGGCCTTATGATTCCTACCCTATAATCATTTCAGAGTGATTTTTGTTAAATTTGGTTTGCTGGAGGGAGTTTTTTAACTTCTCATTTTAAATGACTTCTTAGGTCAGAAGTACAACTGATGATTTAGAAGTCTACCCATCATATTACCACCACATGTTACTGAAAAGCATTTCTTTGAGCAGATGTTTACTAAGCACATGCACAAAGCCCTTGGCGAGATACAGAGGTAGACTGAAGAAGGCAGAGCCAGGGCGCCTCTCCTCACGTACAGTGTTCAGAAAGCACGAGTAGTGTTAGCAAAAACAGTGCCAATAAAACGCCATGGGGAAGGCGAAGTTACAGGGGACTAAGCAAGAGTCATGCCGGAGGGTGCCGAGGACTTCAGTCAGAGGCAGGGAGAGCAAGACCCTCAAGGTGTGGCAGCCAGAGGGAGCCCGGAAGGCAGGAAGGTGAGGGAAACTGGAGGCTCCTGGGGGAAGGGCAGCACCTAAGTTTGGCGGGGGCCACCGATGCACTGACAGGGCTCCTTGCTCAAAGGTCGGCCTCCCCCCACCATGGGGTAAAGAGTGAATTTTCTTCCACCTCCCTGGTCCAAGGGATGCTGGGATCAGGTGCTAGAGCTTCTGGCAGGAGAGCCGTTGTAGAGCCCAGGTTGCGGGCGGTGCCGTGGCTGCCCGTGGGCATTTGCACTCGGTCCCCTCCTGGGCTGCAGAGGCTGTCACTGCCTGAGGTCACACCTGCTCTCTGACAGGTGATTCACTATTCTCTTCTCTTCTAGGAGATGCCAATAGACAAATTAGTGAATACAAATTTAAGCTTTCAAAGGCAGAACAGGATATAGCCACGTTGGAGCAGAATGTAAGTACTTCAGTGCACTACCAAGTGATTTGCACTCCCTTGGAAACTTCCTGCACCCGAGTGGCTAACTCCAGGAGTACCTGGGTTTCTTAGGGCTGCCTCTGCAGTGGGGTCTCTATAAAAGCTCTCTATTATAAAGTACAAAAGCCAGCAGAGAAAACCTGGCAGGACACCTCAGCCTTCTATTAGCTGTAAAAATGCAGAAGACTGTAGCTATAATTCACTTTTTTTCCAGATTATTTCCGAGAGACTTCAGGAAGACTGTAATTTGAAAATCCCTTATTGTACATTTCAAAAAGTCTAAAAGCTTTTCCATTTAGTGAGTCTTGCCCTACAGTGTTACTTTGGCACTTAAACAATATGTTCATCATAAACTTAACACGGGAAATCGGCTCGATAAGGACTCTCCAGCTGTATTCCTCTCTGGGGACATTTCTTGATCTATAAATAGCCGTCGGGCGCAGAGAGGCCCTCTGACTCACCGTGAGGGGATGACTTGGGATTTGTAATGACGCTGTGTTTCCATGTGGCTGCGAGAAAGGGGCCCCCGGTGGCCATTAGCAGAGGCCCGTGTTCTCTTGTTGACAGATCAGCCGGCTGGAGGGCCAGGTGCTGAGGTATAAGACCGCCGCGGAGAACGCCGAGAAAGTGGAAGACGAACTGAAGGCGGAGAAGAGGAAGCTACAGCGAGAGGTACCTGCTTTTGCATGCTCACATTCGTACAAAGAACAGATCCTTCGCTGCCTGAGGAACTGAATCCTGGTTCAATCTTTTTTTTTTTTTTTTTAAGATTTTATTTATTTATTTGAGAGAGAGAATGAGAGCGAGCGAGTACATGAGAGGGGGGAGGGTCAGAGGGAGAAGCAGACTCCCTGCCGAGCAGGGAGCCCGATGCGGGACTCGATCCAGGGACTCCAGGATCATGACCTGAGCCGAAGGCAGTCGCTTAACCAACTGAGCCACCCAGGCGCCCCTCCTGGTTCAATCTTAAGGGAACCGCAGTGGAGTCTCTTACTCTTCGGTGTTGGTTTTCGACCTGCGCGGTGACTGCCATTTACTTTTAGGTTTCGGTCAGTTAGAGACTGAGAGAAAGGATAGGTCTCCCTTTTGTGGTGGAGCCGGTCTGTTTCCCCACCTGCTGGCTGTCCTTTCTGGGGTTGAGGCTTAGTGTCCCTGCTCGGTGCTGCCAGGTGGCGGAAGAGAGGCGAGGCCGCGGGGCGCCGTGCGGGGCGCCGTGCAAGGCCCAGTGGGTGGTGCTTCCGTGTCGCAGGCGGGGGGCGGGGGCACACTCAAGCGGCACTGGGTTTCGTGTGTGACCATGTAAAGTGACTGGGCTCTCCCTGTCTGCAGTTACGAACAGCACTGGACAAGATTGAGGAGATGGAGATGACCAACAGCCACCTGGCCAAGCGGCTGGAGAAGATGAAGGCCAACAGGACAGCACTTCTGGCCCAGCAGTAGGAGGCTGCCCTCCGGCCCAGGCGCCGCTCCTGGGGCCCCTCCCAGAGGGACTGACTTTTTGTCCATTGACACAGACCCCCCTTCAGTACTGTTGGAGTTTTGTCATTAAAATAGCCACCTTTGTATTTTATAATTTATGAGAATGAAACAGGTTTGAATCTTCATGAATGAATACTCTGGATTTCGTTTGTAGTTTGATTCTAGACTAAGAACTGGTCCATGCTGTTGTTTTTTTTTTTAATTTCCATAATTTTAGAATCAAGTTTACTCACCATTTTTCCCCAGCTGCCTCAGTGACTGGGCACTCGGAGGCCTTGGCACAGGTTCCGGAGGACAGCGACTCTGTGAGTGCCCAATGAGGTAACTCGGCTGGAGACCTCGGAAAACACAAGTGCCTTCTCCACGGTGCAATTCAGACTTCAGTCATCCCCAGCGGCCAAAAGACACTTACCCTTAGTATCAGACAGCATTTATATTTTAGTGAAGAAACAAGTTCACAGGCGGGCAATATATGTTTCACTCAAATTTCTATGTTTGGAGGAAAAAGCCTTTTTTTGTAAAATATTTAAATTTATATAAGAAAATGTTAGAAAAAGATATGGGGAGTGTACATAAAACTTGCTTTATTGCATGTGGCCGGGTAAGTCCAAAGCCTAACACTCTTAAAGTAAGAGTAGGGCCCTTCGTCTTCAACATCAGCTGTGCTGTATCTCATGTGAAGTATCTCATCTGCTGTTGATTTGTGGAATGAAACCTCAGACGAGCCCGGTGGGGGGCGGGGACAGGCAGGGGGGAGGTCGGCCTGAAGACTCTATTAAACGCACCCTCTTGCTGACCACAGCTGGCTGCCGACACATTCATTTTTGTTAGGGGAGTCTTTAAAACACCTCAAGGCAGCCACACCCACCCCTCTTACCTTGCCCCTCTTCTCTCCTCCGCAAGGAGAATGATCTGGAATGTACAGCTTTTTAAGAACTTCAGTTTCATCTTTAAAGGCACCCAGTTCAAGGGGCTTTTATCATCGAGTGTGGCTACTCTGCAGGATTTGTGATTCTCTTTTGCCCTCAGAATCAAGGTGGTTTTATGGAGATGGTGGCTGTTATCTTCAGAACAAATGCTGGGGGAAGTCTAATGAATTAAAGGCACATGAGATAAAGTTTAGACTTGAAACTAGATGCTAAAGCCAACTTGAATGTGAAAATCTCTACAAATTTTACCCCCTTCTTCAGAGCAATGAGCTTTGTAGTTCCATATTTTATTTTTAAAATACGGAAACCACTGTCCTGAATGGAGACCATCCTCTCATTCGCAGGGACTTGTCGGGGTACTTTATCCCAGGAACAGGAATGGGCATGAATGGATGAGAAAGCAAACAGGGAGTGAGGATGGGAACAGATGTCATGTGCTGCATCTCACAGGGGTGGGCGGCCTTCTCGTCCTGATCTCGGACCAACTACAGAACTTGACTCTTACCTGAGGACTACAACAGAGGCATAAAAATGGCTGTCACACACCTCCTATAAATTCTCTCTAGTCATAGTAGGTGCAATCACCCGTGCAGGAGCTGTGAGAGGGAGAGGGGGGCGAGGTTCTGGAGCCGGGCCCGGGGCTGCTCAGCCTGTGAACTTTTTGGAAGTTCTACATGGTTGAACCTGACCTTGCCCCTTTTGTGGTACAACAAATTTGTCTCTTCTGTTGTCCCAGCCTCTTCCAAAGGGAATGGCTCCGTGTCTTCATCAGGTAGAGTTCCCTGTTCTTTCCCATGGAATGTTCTTCACTGAGTCTTGTAATCTGATTTTGCCTCCGCACTGAAGGCGTTCTTCCTCCCCGTGCTCACTGCACATTTCTGTTAATGCAGGCTAGTGTTAAGGCAGCTTCTTGTAATGGCACCTACAGCTTAAATGTATATTTTTATGTCATCCTTCAGACAAGAATAACTAGAACTTTATCTTAAGCTGGTAGGATTCAGATCCATTAACAAAGGGGGCTTACTTAATGTGCACACTAGTTATAAATTCCATCAGGACTGCTGTCCTCTTGCAAGTTTTTTTTTCGTTACAAATTAATTAGCTTTGGCTACATATGGTGGTAACAGATTATCAATTCAGCCTTCTCCATACTCAGTGTCACCAGAGCCTCTTATATGTTCGGGACCTCTTTCCAAGGCAAGTGAACCAACGTAATTCGTATCAGCTGATACTAGAAAGTCACCAGAGTACACAAGAACCAAACCAGAGCAAGATCTATAAAATCTTCAAGGCCTTTTTAGAATTCTTATCAGATGCCCAGAGGGCTTTCAAATTGCTTTTGGATTCTTCAACACACGTATACTGTAGGTGAAAATGGATCTAGAAAACCTTTCAAGTGTAGTGAAATTAAATAAGAAATCATGTTAGGACACATATGACAATTTATTTCTGGTCGATCCACCAAGCGTGAAAGAGTGCTACTAGTTAGAGGGCAAACGGGAGTCTTCAACCCTAAGACCTACCCTCGTCAGGATGCAGTGCAAGAACCGCACAGCCCAGAGTCTGCAAGTGAGCGTGGTCAGCACCTCTCGAAGACTTTGTACAGATCGGGCAGGTTAGCAAGCTGTAGGATATTTCCATCTTCTGTGAAATGTTTAGGAGGCAGAAGGTGGGAGCGGAAGGCTTTATAAACAATGTGTTCCACAGTCCACTTCCAGGGGTTTGCAGAGGAGCCCGACACTTCGCTCTGGAAAAGACGCGTTCGAGGTCACAAGCCTGCCTGTTCGCCCCACTCACATCCCAGCATTTGTGGTTTCCTGGCTGACCTGTACTGGGCCTGGAAGTCTTGCTGGTTACAATGGACTGTTTTACCTACTGCTGGTGAAACATCCTCTCTGGTCAGCCTCTCAGGGATCCTACAGCCCTGAACGTGAGAGACACGAGACAAGGGGAAAGGAAGGCAGAGACTTTCTCCCATGGAAACTTTGTTTCCATTCAGGAAAACTGTTGATTGTAGCAGCATCTAACATAAGGTCTGATCCCGACTATGACGTTCAGCCCCCAATAGTAGGAAGTGCATTCACCCAGGCCCTTTCTGTGTACAGCTGATCTGTAAGAAGAGCTAGGGGTCTGACCTTAGTACCTGTCCTGTTTTCCTGGAAGAGCAGTGGTCAGATGTATAATGAGCCAAAGCTAAATGAGCGTGGGGAGTCTGGGGCAGAACCTGAAGGCTGGGGCTGCACACCTGAGGGCTAACGGTGGGAGACGAGAATTCGCTAGCCCTGGATCATCCACCAGCTCAGTCTCCCAGCTCTCATGGTGACAGCTTGCATTTTCACATTTGACAGGTACTGAGATCATTCTAGAGGGACCTTCCAAACCAGCAGAAGGAAGAAAAATTCATGAATAAAAGCTGACCATTATGTTGAAGCTTTATGTGCAGTGAAATCTTACGAATTCAGAGGTGGCAGGTTTCATTTGCTAAAGGTTGTGTGAGGCCCATCCCCATCCCGGGTGCTAATGTGCATCACCACAGTACCTGCTGGCCCGAGAGGGTCGACTCCTCAGATATATACTGCTTCCGAATGGAATAAAACATAGCACATTCTTTACTGAGGCTTTCAAAACATTCCTTCTCTTCATCCCAGTTCACCTGGTCCAAAGAGAGAATTTAATACCTCAACATAGGTACTTGCTTTAATAAACACATTTCATTTCCAAGTGGAGGTTACAGACTACTTAAAAGCTTTTTCCATGTAATGTTTTAGGCATTAAATCTGTAAACCATAACTGCTGGATAGGTGGGGTAAAGGGGGGCCTTCAGCTGTTGTATCCTTTTCACCTCCATCATTCCACGTGAAGGTGTGGCCCCGTGCCCTCTCCCGCCAGCCCACACGCAGGTACCCGCATACTTAGGAATGGTTTGACCACTTGCCTCCGTGGCGAGTCGAAGAATGAAGATAGGCAGACCCTCCAAAGGGGGCACATAGTTGTCAATCAGCAGGGGTAATCCAGTCAGGTTCCCTTCCTGCTTGTGCAGAAAAGGCCACGACAAGGGACAAGAAGTAAATTGTTAGAGTTTAATCAAGTTCTATTTCCCCAGTGCTCCCTCCAGGTCTTGTCCGCATGTCCGCACTCTGGGTGACCAGTTGCTTGACTGGGCTGGGCACCGAGGGCAGGAGAGCAAAAAGCTTAAAAAGAGCTTTTTGTATTGACATGAAGCAGAACAACGTCTTGTTTCAATATGCTCACCAGCTGAAGAACACATCGAGATGGAAAGCCCCAAAGCTTAAGGGATAAGAGGAAGAAACAAGGAAAGCAAGAGGCCTGGCATCCTCTCATTCGCAGGGACTTGTCGGGGTACTTTATCCCAGGAACAGGAATGGGCATGAATGGATGAGAAAGCAAACAGGGAGTGAGAATGGGAACAGATGTCATGTGCTGCATCTCACAGGGGTGGGCGGCCTTCTCGTCCTGATCTCGAACCAACTACAGAACTTGACTCTTACCTGAGGACTACAACAGAAGCATAAAAATGGCTGTCACACACCTCATCGATTTCCAAAGAGAAATAGTCTGCGAGCATCTCAGCCTTCTTCTTCAGAAACTCAACAATGTACTCGGCAAGTCCTTCTTTGGGACCATCTTCCTCCGTCCAGCCACTCTCAGGACTATCCAAGGCGAGCATGGCCAGGTCAAAGAGTGGCGCTGGCTCCTAGAACGGAGTTGGTGTCAACAGTGCATCCAAGTGAAGCCTGAATTCCTTCCCACAAAACCACCACAGGCACGCCTTGGCGGTACGACTGCCACAGTAAAGGAGTACCACAATATAGTGAGTCAGATGAATTTTTTGGTTTCCCAGTGCACATAAAGGTTATCTTTACACACATATATCCTATCTATGAAGTGTGAAATAGAATTATGTCTAAAAAAACAATGTACATACCTTAACTAAAAAAAACCTATTCAGCGGTAATCATCAAGACAGTATGGTACTGGCACAAAAACAGACACATAGATCAATGGAACAGAATAGAGAGCCCAGAAATGGACCCTCAGCTCTATGGTCAACTCATCTTCAACAAAGCAGGAAAGAATATCCAATGGAAAAAAGACAGTCTCTTCAACAAATGGTGCTGGGAAAATTGGATAGCCACATGCAGAAGAATGAAACTGGACCATTTCCTTACACCACACACCAAAA